GTCCACGGCTAGGGCCATGAGCACGACCACGACTACGTCTATATCCATGTCCATATGTATGGCTACAGCCTTGTGTCTATTCATTTGCTACAACATTCACCTCTAGGAATGAAGCAAAGCCAGTTAGATGGGATTCATGATTTTTCATTAAAAGTTTGTTATTTTGTTCAGCCACAAGAAGGCAAGAAATTAATTTAGAATATTTCTCGAATCCTTTTTCACGGTGTTGCTGCTATAGCAGCACATTGAATATATGAAATATAGAGAACGTTTTTTCTAACATATCTTCATCAGTAACTTTTTCTCATATAATTTTAGTCGAGAACTAATTTTGAATGTTGCAGAGTTATACTTGCTAACAGATTTAAAATCTTGCAAACACAAGTGCATCCAGTCGTAGCGAGCTTTTGGGAGAATAATCGTTTTCTGGTGGTCATACCTCTCTTTCAAACTATGTCAAAGAACGAGAGGCTCTTTTATAATCAAATATTCCATTTTTAGTGCCTCGTGTAAGTGCTAGCGTAAAAATATCATTGCTTTAGCTTTATCTTGAATAGATGCATGGGTGCCATCTTTGATTGTATTTCCAAGGCCATTGGCATTCAAATGAATTTCCGCATTTGGTGTCCAAGATAAGTAATTCTTCCCAGAAATATCAAGAGCCACAAACTCAGGCTTGGTAAGGTTCGACATAATAATACTGTCATAAAAAGAAAATAATATTAGGAAAAAATAAGTACATCATATATGGACTTCATATATATATATATAAATTGAATCTTAAATGTATAAAAATAATGACTTATGAGAATATAACGAGGCGAAAATAAATTAAAAGAAAGGAGGGGAGATACAGTTAATAAAAGAATCATGAAGCATAATGATAAAGTATTGTACCTTTAGTAGAGTCTCGTGCTGATAACGTGTTATGAAATAAATGGAATAATATAGAGGAAAAGTACAGAATAGAGAAACAAAAGAGTATTTTTTATTCCATTCGAGATACTCAACGTATGATACAGACCCTCTATTTATGGGTATAATTTTATATTTTCAATAGAATTTACAGATTCCATAATAATAGAAGATAAGGGAGATAATGATAGAAATATGAACATCCACAAAGATATTATATTCATAATATTAAAGAATTATTCTATGTCCTTCGTCAATTTATTATTGTGGGAACAATAATAAATTAAGACTAGTATGATGTTGATTGATGATCATGTATGGAGATACAAATCAAAGTCATAGGCACTTGTTGGGGACCAAAATGCCAGATCGACCCATCATGAGATAACTACATGAACTGGGTCACAAGCGTATCTTAATGTTTGGACGGGGGAATAAATTTCATGGCATTGGGACTTGGGTAGGAAATGGGATTAGGAGTGGAAATGCGTTTTAAAATAGGAGAATTACAATGAGGTTCTAAAAAAAAAAGATTACAAAACAAATCCCAAAACTTGTTATTTCTTACTGAAACTTGTCATTATAGGTTGTTTAGATTGTTATTAAAACTTTTTAATAATTATCTTTCTTCTTTAAAACTTCATTGTAATTCTCCCTTTTAAAATTATGTTTGGTATGGTGATGGAATGAATGTATTTTTTTTATTTTATATTCACAATTATAAGGGTAAACTGCCATGATATCCTTTTACCCTGCCCAAGCATAGTCACCACCATTCTTCACCTGCCCCCTCCGTACATCTCCTCATCAGACTAAAACCATTCAAATACCAAACGCGAAACACTACTTCAAATCAACACAAGCCAATAACTAAATGATACAAATCTAAAAATCAATTGAAAAATCTAGAATAGGCAAATCTAGTTTCAAGAAAAAAGAAATAAAACCCCAAGATTTGAAGTTTTTACTCCATGGACAATATCAGTTAGGCTATCGCATCCACAGGGAAAATCATGTTTGCTCAATTTTCTGAACTGATCAATGATTTTTATAACAATGGGCTGCCTTCAAATCTATCTGCGAGTTGAAACCCCAGCTTAGACTTTGATTTCAAGGGTGCTGAAATTGCCATGGCATATTACTGCTCTGAACCCAATAGCAAGTCACGTCCAAAGTGCCGCGCACTTAAAAAAAAAAAAAAAGGAACCAGAAAATCAAACGCACCAAAGATAAGTAGATCGAACAAGATTCAATGAGGGGGGAAAAATCAGAAAATTAAACGCTTTTACTAACCTTCCAAACACGTGCTCGTCATCGTTCTTCGCAATCGCCTCCGCCAATGTCAGATCCCAATTGTATCGTTCATAAGTCCCGGAATTGAACACCTTCCACACCATCGATATTTCCTAAGGGTGCTAATTAGATTTGGAAGTTATAACAAAACTAATACCAATACCAATCCTCTAAATATTTTGTACCAAACAAGCCCTTAGACATAGTTGTAAGACAAGTTAAATGATTTTCATACAATTTTTAAAATAGAATCTCAAATTAGTTTTGACAAGTCTCCTTTCTCTTCTCTTGCTCAATTTAAGTAATGTCTACAGATTTTTTATGGGAGTTTTGAAAAAACAAATTGAAATTTATTTCGCTGGTGCGTGCTCAAAACCCAACAACACACACGATTAGGTCACTAACATAGTTTCAGGGAGAGTTAATGCGCGGGTTCCTATTCTTTTTCTCAATTTTTAATTAGGTCTTATACTTTTTTTTTCATTTTATTGAATCCTTATTATTTCGAACATTAAAGGCGTTAGTCTTTCCGGATAAAATCTGTCAAACCAAGTTAGAGTTGTAACTATAATTCAAGTTTTCAGAATAAATTAATGTCTTTTAACCATTTTAATTTCCTTCCCTCAAAATGTTTATTTAATTGTGTGTGTTTTTCATCAGAAGTTTTGTGTATTTATTTTGATTAAAGTTAACTTAACAAATATTCTTTGGGTTAATATATAGATACATCATGTCTCGAACACGCAACCTAGTAAAAGATTCATGAAGAATGCTGAGAGAACTGGTGCTTTAGGAAACATTTAAAATATTTTGCAAGTTAAAGTTAAACAATTTTTTCTTCCATAACTTAACAGTAAAATTACACCCTATATTTTAAACGATTATTACTATTTAAATGACACAATATTGTACCTATTAAAAAAAATTCCTCACGACTTTCCCGAGTAACGAGTGTTCAGTAATGTGCAAGCGTGTGCCTCGTGGACATTTGTAGTGTTGGGAAAATTGCTCAAAAGGAACAAACGACAAACATAAATATATAATCATTATAAAGGATCTACAATTTGCATGATTTTTAATAAGGACTAGGATTCTTATGAACAATTATTTTAAAATGATAAAAAGTTTGCTCACAAGTGATGTTACATAATTCACTAAAAGTCTTGTTTAATTCACAAGTTGTTTTTTTTTTTTTTTTATGATTTACAAGATTACCCGCATGAAGTTGAAAAATGAAACATGTGGATCCTAATTTTACAAACAAAATTTCACATAATTTAGAAAAAGCACTATTTAATTAACAAAAAAGTTTGCCAAATTTTACAATTGGTTTTTCATGGCTTGTGAGAGACCTTACACAAATATTAAAATATTTAGATTTTAAGACATTGTAGGAGACCTTCTAATCAATTGTGACAAGCCTATTATACGTGTATCAAGCAAAACATCATGTAAATTATACAAAATACTTGTAAATAATTTTAGTTATTTTACTGTATAAATTAATTCTCATATATAAAGATCTTATTCCTTTTGGTAATTATGAAAATTTGATGTCAGCAAGCATGTTTGTCAGTGTTAATAAAGTACACATCATTATGATGGGTAGATGTAATAATAGACGTCATTATGACTTGACATTTAATAATCAGAACTACTCACAATTATCAACTACTCTCATAATGATATCTAATAATGACAACCACTTCATTTATTACAAGAGGATGAAATAGACTAAAGCCTTACAATACTCAGTTGTGCACACAACTAAAGATTTTAAAAAGTAGAATATTTATATCAAGTTGCTTATATTTATTATGTTAAGTTTTTTAATCACATATGACCATGTGTCATTTTTTAAAATATTAACATTTAATTAGAAATCCATATGAAACAAAAAGGGATACATAGTCATGTGGAAAAATTTGATATATTGGATATAAGCAATTTGACATCAGTTTTTTTCTTTCTTAGACACACAACCATATATGATTGTAGAACTTGATATAATAGATATAACTAACTTGACATAAGTTTTTTTCTTCTAAAAATTACTCCTCACTTAATTTTAATATTAAATGTAAGGTTTCAATTTAATATATTTTTATATTTATTATTTATTCAAACTAGTAGTAATTCATATAGTTGGCCAAAAAAAAAAGTAGTAATTCATGTACTTATAAAGGTATTTTAAAGATATCATGCCCTTAGAATTAAATCATTTATTTAGTTTTATTTATAAACTCAAATTAATTAAATAGTTTATATTAAGGATGGGAGGAGTGCAATTTATGTTCAAAATATCAGAATGATGAATGATTTGTCATTAATTGTTGATTTTTACAATTTGATCTAACTTTTGTTTTGGTTCCAATAGTTTTAAAGAAAAATGACAAAAGAATACGTGCAGAATTTCATAATAACAAATAAATGATTTTGATGAAGTTTGATATGAATAGTAAAAATCATTACAAAAGTGATTAGTATGACTATTTGTCTCTTTAAAGTTGAGTAGGTGTTTTTCCTTGTTTTCTAAATAGTTGGCTTTGACAATATCTTCTTTACTTTTTACTTTAGAAGAATCCTAGGCTTTTTTGGGCCCAAAAGAGAATCTTGAAGAAGACACAATGAAATGACGTTATTGTGTATATTGGTCATTTCGTTGAAATTTATGTTTACAAAGCCAAACCTGATCTATCATCACTTTTCTTTGTGATACATGTGTTTGTGTGTGTGTGTGTATCTATCCATTTACATAGAACTAAATATTGGTGTTGAAAAGGCACTGCACAATGGAGCCTCTTTTGTTCTCAGTGTGTGTCATCGTCCTCACTCTGCTTTTCTTCTTCAGTGCTTGCAGCTCACAGGCAAAGTCCCATGGCAAACGCAATGGGAAGCTTAAGCTTCCACCTGGCAGTCTTGGGTGGCCCTTCATCGGAGAAACCTACGACTTCCTCTTCTCCGACCCTCACCAGTTCATCAAACTCAGAATGCAAAAGTACTCTCCCAAAATCTTCAAAACCAATCTCCACGGCCAACCCACCGCCGTCCTCTGTGGCACTTCCGGTCACAAGTTCATCGCTGCAAATGAAGAAAAGCTCATGACCGCATGGCGCACCACCGCCATGCAGAAACTCTTTCGAGGTATATATGTGTGTGTTTGTGTCTATGTGTATACTTAATGCAGATTCTGAAGTTCTCTACTTCATTGTATTATATATCTTTGTTTTAAATATATTTCACCAGGCAAGGATCGGACAAATTCAAGCGACGGAGCCACCATTTCTCGGAGATCTGAGAAGCACGTGATTCGAGCGCCGGTGCTGATAAGCCAGGAAGCTCTGGTGGCTTATGCTTCGATCATAGATGGCATGACGAAGAAGCACTTTGAGAGGAAGTGGTTTGGGAAATCAGAGGTTGAGGTTTATGGGCTGATCGAGCTTCTTACAGTGGGGATAGCCACCAAACTGTTCATAGGTCTTGAAAGTGACGTTGAACGTTTGGCTAAGATGGCAAAGTGGTTTGGCCATATCGCACATGGCCTCAACGTTCTTCCTTATGATATTCCAGGTATTTGTCCTTGTGCTGTTATATATATGTAGACACTGTCGTTTTAAAGTTTCTTAGAGTGAAAACTGAAAAGAGAAATAAAGACATGATAATGGCCTTATCAACATCTTGGTCTCACATAAGTAAATAACATCTCTTGTCTTTAATATAAGAGCTAGATAACTAATTTCAGAATATCAAAGAAATTAGTTAATTGGTTATTTGTATAAATGTATCGGCCTCCCTAAACTATCATCTCCAATCATATGCATTGGATATTAGAATTATCCCTTGTAGGAATTGTTATAATTAATAGGGACATTTGGGAAAAAATAAGAGACAAAATAAATTGAGATCTTATATTTAACACGAAATTCAACTGCAATTAGTTCTTATATTGAAAACCGAAGGTAATAACATGTTTGAAATAAAAAAGTCGGTTCGGGCACCAAATATGTGTGTGTGTGTGTGTGTGTGTGTGTTTGGGATGGTTTTTGGGAAAATCACTTCTAAGCAATATTATAATGGCTAACTTGCTATGAATTACAGGGACCAAGTTTGGTCGAGCCATGAAGAGTGCAAAAGCTGTAAAGCATGAGATTTTGAAGGTGATGGAAGAGAAGAGAGAAAGGATTTGTAAAGGGGAAAAGCCTTCAGATATATTGTCGTTTCTGATGGTTAGGGCAGATCCCGCTGGGAAGGTGAAATCAGATAATGAAGTTGCTGGCATGGTTATGGGTTTGATTACTGCAGCTTTTAACTCTGCCTCCGTCGCTTTGACATTCGCCATGAAATATCTGGGACAATACCCTCAAGTTTACCAAAGGATCAGAGATGGTAACATATATCTAATCAATTAGCACAACATGTTATCACAGATTAGTAACGGTTTTTCTTCTGAGTTTTTAATGATAATGTGTGTTGTTGTATAAGAACAGAGCAAATGGAGATTGCTAGGTCTAAGAAAGCAGGAGAGAGTCTTACATGGAATGATATGCAGAGGATGAAATATTCATGGAATGTGTTATTGGAAGTGATGAGGCTTGTCCCTCCTCTTCAAGGAACCTTTAGGGTAGCCACAACTGATATTACATACGAGGGCTTCACCATTCCTGAAGGATGGAAGGTAGGTTTAAATTGGTTAGTCATGGAGCTGGATTTGGATTCTTAATGTTCTTTCAGAGCTGTGATTTGTTTTACAATTTGTGCTGCAGATATATTGGACAGTGAGCTCAACCAATAACGACCCAGAAATATTCAGAGAGCCAGAGAAGTTTGATCCAACAAGATTTGAGAGTGAGATACCGCCATTCTTGAATGTGCCATTCGGAGGGGGTCCAAGAATTTGCCCTGGAAAAGACTTTGCAAAGCTTCAAATGCTCATTTATCTTCATTATGCTGTCACCTTCTTCAAATGGGAACTCATTAATAATGTCAATCCTCCTAAGGTTCCAGCAAGCATGCATCCCTTGCCCTCTGAAGGGTTTCGGGTGCGACTTGAGCGTTGTTCCCAATAGGCCCTACCTTTCCAGCTCGGGGACCCAGGTTTTAAGTTGCTGGCCTCTTGAGGTGAACATGGATGAACTCCAGAGTCAGAACTCAGAACCAATGAACCTGGAAACAACCTTGATCTTGAAATAAATATTGCTACCCTACTCTGGGAAGTAATAACAACCATTTCCCCCCCGTTTCTTTTTATGAGCTACGTATTTTTTAATCCGCCTGTTACATTTTGAAAATCCCAAACATTTATTTATTTATTTTATCATTTTTATCTTCAAATAATAAAGGCGCTTTTAAAAAATAAATCACATCATATTTTAACTAATTTTAGTCAACTTTTTAATCAACATAATTCGGTCAACTGTTCTTTAAAAAGTGTATGTAAGCGTGTGTGAATGCACACATTTGATGCAACTAGGAGTTACTGCTTGTTATACAAACATCAAAGATTTTATTTTAGTAGAAGTTCAAATGGAGACGAAATTAAAACATATTATGTCTGTGTGTGTGTGTGTGTGGGTAATGGTTGCTCCGATTTTCATACACGTGATTCAGTCCGCAAGTACGTTGATAGGCACCAAATCATACTTTAGTGAGGCAAGCGCACATAATAAATTCAGAAGACAATCTACTGAGTTTGAAAACAACATTCACTTGGCAACGTTTGTCCTGTGTTAGGGAGCGTCTAGCAAAAGACAAAAGTAAATTAAGCCAAACGAACGCCAAAGTCGCCAGGTAACCAAACTTGGGCGCCATCATAGACTCCAATGCACTGTATAGAGCGAAAACAAACTATACAAGGACGCCTGCAACCTGGTGGAGAGAGAGTTCAGGTCTCTAATTCCCTCAAACGAAATATCCACTGTTTCTTTATCTCTCTAGCCTGCTTTAGTTTTTTTTAGGTGAAACTCTATCCCACTTTAAGCAATAAATGTACTTCAATCAGAACAGTCTCCTTTTGAGGTGGGGGGAAAAAAAAAAGTCTGCCCTCAAAACTAGATACAGATCACCAAACTATACATAAGTTCATACTTGAATTAGTTATACATTTCGTAACCTTAGGATGAAGCAAACCAAAAGAACAGGAATACAATGATGGTCCCCAAAGGCCCAAACAGACTCATGACTAAGGTTTTAAGATCATAGGCCGAGTATCCAACTGAAATTTATTCATCAATCACAAAGAATACTATTTTTCAGCCAGGGGGTTGCACACTATTGTTGCTTATAGTAGCCACTTTGATGGGGAGGATATGGACCTGGAATGGTATAAGGAGGCCGAGGAACTGAAGAAGGTTGTTGAGAATGCGCATTATAGTATGGGCCACGCCATCCAGGATATGCAGGTTGGCCATAGTCATGGCCTGCTGGTTGCTGCTGGGGGACCTGAGAAGGATAGGGGGCGGTTGATGGGTGTGGCATGTGGTAAGGAGGCGGTGGCTGATGTGCAGAGCCATATGGAGGAGGTTGAGCATATCCAGCAGCTGATGGCTGTTCAGGCAGCGGCTGATAATATCCAGTTTGGGGGCGAGAATCTGGCGGATAGGATCTTTGAGGCTGGTGTCCCATTGAAAGGTAGCCACTGCTAGAGGGGGCAGTGGTTTTGGTATCCTGGAAACTGAGACCAGCCACTTGTCTCTGAACATCTTCAATCATTTCCCTGCACTGGATGTTTCTGGTCATTATAAAGTCACTGCACTGCTGCTTTACATTTGTGATTGCATCCTATCGAACAGAGAAATTTCATATTGTAACATGACCAACATTTGCTTTAATAGCACTATTCATACACAAACAGAAAAAAAATATGAATGATTTGAAAATAACAATGAGATCGTTGAAACAATGTTAAACAGCAGTATCTGAAAAATTCTTGCCTGCAGCGTAACATAAAATTTCAACCCTTCATTGACGTTGTCTTTTATTTCTCGGTACTTTGCTATGGCAGCTTCAATCTGCTTGTAGCATTTTTCACGCGAAGCTGAAATAGATAAGAGAAAACCATGAACAAGTGACATAAAAGAAGCGAGGACTCTCTGAAAAACATGCATTAGCCTTTGAAGAGGAAAAGCTTAAATTTTTCATGAATCACAGGTTAAACAGAATGTATTATAAGAATCGAGAAATTTCTCTAACACTGGACTAAAGGACCAAAATTGACTTTAATCTAAGTAGATACTTATCCTTGAAAAAGGCTAGCAGCAAAACTAATGGTTCATTATATAGTATTTTGCACTTGCTAATTACACTCATCTCAAATTTCTCCAACTGTAGAGCACAGATAGCATAGCAGAAGCCACACTTTTCACTCATTAATGACCACAATCTGAAAGCAAATCAAACTTCGTCTGCACGGTGATAAGTTTTAAGAGAAGATATAATCAGATGCACAAGAAACTACCAGATAAGACCTACCTCTGTAATCTTCAAGATTAAAGATAGCAGAGAACTCATCATTTTGATCCTGTGATCAATGAATAATAAATATCAGAAGTGAGTCATCAACTTTCCATGTTTCCTCGAAGAAATCACCATTCATAGGAAATAGCAGGGGGGTAAATCAATGCACAAACAGAACCAGAAAGAGAACTTTTGTGCATGCCTACTTTGCTTGTAGCATAATTAAGTTAACACAGATAACCCAAACCTCCCTGGTGATTAAGAGCATGGCCCTTAAAATTCCTATATTGTCCCTAACACAATTAAATGAACATAGCCTGAAGCATAGATTGCAAAAATGGGCAAATAACTGAGCTGTGTGTGAGCGTCTTGATGGGGGGTTGCAAAGATAAATATTATTGAAAATAATAAGGAAGATTTTTGTTCTTCATCCAAACCTTAAGGAGTGGATGCATAATTTTCCAAAGTAAAATACATTAAATGTGAACTTGTATTCATCAATATTAATTGCAGTCAAAATCTATGCTAGAGATGAATCTAGTACATATAATCCTCGTGACTAACCAACATACAGGAAAAAGTAGTTTACTGCAATCAAGGCAGCAGCAAAAGGACAAAAAAAAAATACCAAATTGTTAGACACATTTCTCCTCTAATGCAAGGAATAAAGAGCCAACATATCTATCCTACAACAGTCGGATGGATAGAGAGATACCTGAATCTGCAGCAACAACTGCTCTTGTGCATCAATGTTTTGAGCTATTTCTTCACATATATGATCATATTTTGTTATCTCTTTCTTAAAAAGATCCTCATGAGAACCAGTCGACGTCATCAACTTGGGTAGTATATCATCCTGATGATAAATATAGAAATACACGCTGAAGAAATTTTTTCTAGTGTGTGTAATAGGTCCCCGGAATGGAGGGCACATGGCATGAACCCAACAGTAGAAATAGAAAACAGGGTGTAATAAGCAATAGCTAAACCACTAATTTAAACTTGTATCAGCATACTAAAAGTAGCTCAAGTCATGAAGTACTATATATTGTCTTCCTTGGACATCATTTATAGTGCAGAATATCGAATAGAAAAGTTTAAAAAAGGGATAATGAAAAGAAGGGAAAATATACTTGCACTATAATTATCAGAATCACAGACTCTCATCCGTTCAAGTATACTCCATTTCCTCAAATCATACTTCTCCAACACCAAAGGATAAGATCCAAGGAGGACATCAAACTGAGGCAACCCATACTAGTCAGTCCCTGTCATTACACTGTCTCTTGATATATACACAAATCCACTCCTCCCCTCTATTTTGAAAATATACACAAATATTTTCTAGAGATATAATATGACCAAAATTCCCCTACGAATAATGGCCCTTTCCTTTGCATCTAAGAATACTTTCATACATTTTGATGTCAGTTATTTTCAAATATAACATCTAAGAATACATTTTTCATACATTTTGATGTCAGTTATTTTCTGTTGGAAACTATAACATTAATTGATTTATTTCAAATTTAGAAAATAGAATATTTCTATTAGCCAAGTAGATATTTAATACTTATTGGCCACATATATTATAGTAAATGTACGCATGTTTAGTCAGAATAGGATTAATTGTAGCTCGTTTGAGGCAGAAGTAGTTGTAGTGCATCTTTTGGTTCTGGAGGAGATTATAGATTTTCAAAAGCAAAAAGGAGGATCATGAAATAGGTTTCAAGAGAAGAAGTGTAATTTACTACGAAATATAAAATCACAGTGGACTGCAAACTTCGAAGAGGTCAGATGGGTTCCCCAATCCCATGCTTTTGTTAAGAGAAGGGAGGGAGTGGAGCACTCTTTCAAGCCCAGTGACTGAACCCTATATACATCTCTAAAGACCCTTCCATAGTTGAAGCCAAAACAGAATGAAAGCATTGATATTGATGTTGTATGCAAACAGGGGTGAACAACGTCATTATATGATGGAACTGTGGGTTATAAAAGGGCAAAACGGCAAAACCCAACATTTCAACAATACAATTTTCGAGTATAAAGAATACATCTAGATAGAAAGAAAACCCATGCCCATAGAACAAGAACAAAAATGGAAGAAAAGTAAATACAAGTTAGGCAAACCTTTCTTCTCATCTCTTTAAGCATGTCTTCAAGGCCAGCCCTTTGAGCTCCCAGACTTTCAAGTTGCCTCTGCATCAGTGAGTGAGCACCAAATTTAACAAGAATTCCTTTTCTTTTTTTTGCCCGAAGTTTGACAAGAATCTTAAAATGCAATGGATGCTAATTTTAAAAGAGAAGAGTTAAGTCAGTCTTAATTTTACAGCCCCGGTCAAACGAAGAAAAGTTTTGTTGTAAGCATTTTGAAAGTAAATTGAAAAGGCCTTGACATGTTATTTCTCATAAATTCTCAAGTCAAAAACAAACTTGGTTGTGACCTTTGAGCCTATGAAGGTCCTTTTAATATATAAGGAGAGTCGGAAAAAAACTGTTCCATGCCCGGTTATTTTGGTCATCCTGAAATTGGATAATAAATTAAGGAAAGAAGTGCACTTAATAGCATTGCAAACGATGGATTTTTTTGAAGTAAAAAAGGAAAAAATAATAGAAACTGGAAATAAAATTTAAAAAAATCCATTATTATATAAAATATCCCAACAGAAATTTTAACAGAAGTTAATACAACAACAAATTAATTTAAATTAGAAACTAAAAAAATGGTTATGGACTTCATTCCTGAAAAACATCACATACAATAACAGCGTGCTGCGCTAATAAAAACAACATACCAAGCTCTGCTTGAGAGACCCCACAATAGCATCTTCATTGGCGTCTAAAGACATTATTGGCCTCGCCAAGGAAGGGAGTGCAGATTCAATCTGGCAAAAGAAAAGGATATTTACAGATATGAGCGAACCAAGAACTAATCAAACTTACTAATGCAATAAATTTTGCGTTGGAGTAGACAAAGGACATTCAGGGATGCATGATTTTGGTAATAATTCATCATATCAAAATGCTCTATTCTCTAATTATATTTAGTCATCAATTGGCATAAGCACAATATATACTGAAATTAAAAATGAAACATTAAAAAAAGTTCTGATGAAAGAAAATGGAACGCATGCATGTTAAAATGCACAAATATTTCCAGAAAAAATAATATTCAAGTAACAATGAACTTGTTTTTAGGAGATAAAATTCATAGAAAACAACTGCAAACATGCAAACAACTCAAGATAACAACATAAAGAGATCAATGATTTACCGGACGACTGTCAAGGATAGCCATAAGTGCAGCATGTTCTCTAACTGCACGCTCAATCCGGCCATCGCTTTCTGCAGCTTGCTTCAAGTTACCTGCAAATCTATTTAACCTATCCTGCAAGTTCTTTGTTAAAGTGCTTGATTGAGGCCTAGTCCACTTTGTCCCAAATTGGCTTCTAAATTGGGCATCTTCTCTTGCCTCCTTCTGCAACAGGTCCTCTGTCTGGACTAACATTTCTTGATTTACCCTCCTTAGATCCTTAAGCTGCTGTAATTCTGCTTCCAAACCAGCAGGACCCCCACTGATCTGCACGGCCTCCACATCTTCTTTAAGATGTGTTGGTAGAGTTAAATTTCCTTCCAAAGCAAGAATAGAATCAGGCAGCTCCATTTCCTTTAGTCTTATTCGAGTTAACTCGCTGGCTTGTTGCAATTTTTCAGCCTGGGTTCTTATAATTTCATCTACCATCTCAGTGTACCTGGAGAGTGATTTTGCGCTGCTGTCAGGAACAAGACTTGCAAACATCTTCTCTTTACTAGCATCCAACACTTCATTCATTGCCATTGGCTTCACCATGGAAAAAGCAGGAAGAGGTGCTAAGGAACTGGGAGAAGGAATCCTCATGAGGTAAACTCTATCATTCTCTTTAACAGCCCTTTCAAGGTTTCGGTTAAGATTGGCCTCTAACTTACTAATTGCGTCTAGGATTTGTGCGGGAGCACCCTTTGAGCTTTTCTTTGCTTCAATTAGTGCATTAACCCCACTCCTCAGTCTTGCAATCTCCTCTGCTATCTCTTCTTTCTCATGTAGCTCTAATCCATATCTATAGCAAGCTTCTCCAAAGAATAGAGCTGCCTTTAGCTGCACATGAGCTAACCAAGACTTGTCGAAATGCTGGTTTAGAGGAGCAACGTTCAATGCAGCTAAAGCTTCCTCATAGTATAGCCCAACCTAAAATATCAGATGTATGCATTAGTTCTTCAACCCCAAAATGAAGGAAACGCCCAAAAAAGTACTCCTTACAAAAAGCATGATCAAAAGGCAAAGCTGTCAAACAACCACCTTTCAAAGTAACATTTGCATGAATCATGTGCATTATTTCCAGTGCATGTCAAAATTAATACTAGTACACCACACAAACTATTATTTTACAGTATTTAGCCAGTATAAGAGCATCCTAGTTTGTGGCACAGTTGATATGAATAATATCCTATTTCCCAAAGGCAGACATGTAACAAGATCTCATCAATTGTAACGAATCAAAATCAATAATGGCCAATTAGAATTATATTGCTGAAGAAATCTAGGTTCAATCAGCTTTAAGATATATTTGACCACTTCAGTGCCAATCAGAAACAAAACAAGTTATCGCCATGATTATATGCATCACACCTCGAGTTTAATTGCGTACACGTTAACAATCACATAAAACATAGTTCATTCTATCAGGACCATGAGTCGGAGGAAAGCTATCAACACCAACGAAATGTAAAATCAGAAACGCAAAAATTTCAACAGACCCATTGGCTAATGCATGCACTCAGAGCAATCTAACTGCATAGCCAGAGCTCCTATAATTAAATGGCTAAAGTTTAATCAAATTTTACTTAACAAGCGGGCCCAATAAATCTACATACCTGCCTAGAGATCTTCGCACAAACCACCGGGGTGCTTCCTTTTGCAATGGTATTCTCAAACACGCACTCTTGTGCTTGAGCCAGCATCAACCTCTCCAACATTCCCGAGCACTCAACAGACAAATCCACTGTTGTAGAACTCCCAATTGACGCCTTCATGGCTGCATTATCCCTCAAGTAAGCAAACGACCCAGCAGCTGCGATAAACGCATGCGAGGCCTGCCTACGGCCGTCAACAGTATTCCGATCATAGGATAGCCCAATTTGACTATAAACTGCACCCAAATTGAACAAGACCGCGGCTTTCTCAAGGTGAATATTCTGCTGGGTGGCCTTCAATTTGGGCTTAAACGCATCGAACCACACAAAGCTGAGAGTATTGACGTGATCTGGGTCAGAAGATATGGGGAAACGAGTCTCCACAAGGCACAGAGCTCTGTAGTAGGATTGAAGAAGGTCGCGGCGAGCCGTAAGGGAAGGGTCAGAGTGGCGCTCGAGGTCGGAACGGAGTTGCTTAAGGGTTTGGAGGTCGTCTTCGATGTTGTGGGCCTCGCGTTCGGAGTAGTGGAAAGCGACGTAGTTGCGAAGAGGCCGATAGAGATCGGTCGAGTTCGTCTTCTTCTCGAAGATGGCGAGCATGATGTTGGTGGTGGCCGCAGTAGACGACGATGCAGCCATGTTTGTGGGAAAAAATGGATCACAAAGACGAATGGAAATCACAGAGAAACGAAAATTTCCAAGGGAATGATCAAAACAATTGGAGGAGAACGGGAAGGAAAAAAAAATCCCCCAATCTTTCGTCCACTCGGCATCAGTCAATCTCCCAGCATTAGGTTTTTCTGGTTTTTTATTTTTTATTTTAAACAAAAAAGGTTTCTCGTCGGAGACTCTAACTTAGTCCCAAAGGCAACTAGAAAAATCAGAGGTAAATCAATAAATGAAGCCATTTACATAAATAAAATAGTACTTCCAGTTCTTAATACAAGATCCTATTTAATTTTTATTTAGATTCTAAATATAAGACCCTAATCTATTTTGTCTCTCATATTTATACATTTTTTTCTAAAGGAACCATTTTAATAATTATAGTTATAGTCAATACACTTGATTAATAAGGATATTTTAGGAAAAACAACACCTATTTAGGACAAATAACAAACTCAACTTATTTCCTTAATCTCCTCCAATTAGTCAACTATAGGACCAGAGGCGGTAGCATATTAGATTAAGTGATTAACTTACTAATTTCCCTAATGTATATATGATATATCTAATGAATAGCAATATAAAATTTAATCTCTCCTGTAAAAATAAACAATACAACTTATTGTTTAAAAAGGAACTTAATATAATATATAAAAATAAAATGTGAATCTTTTCACATAAAAAATAGCGAATCTTACCTTCTTTTTTTTTTTCAAATGGCTATATGTCAGGGTCAGATTTGAGCATTGGTAGGATTTAATTGAAATAACTCTTCATTTATGCAAAACTTAAAAGGTTGTAATATCTCTTCATGTATCTTATAAGAATTTATGTAAATCTTCCCCCCCAAAAAGAAAATTACAGGTAATTGAAGTGGAACTCATTGTCAAGGGCCTTTTCATCTAATAACACATACACCTACCTTAAAAAGACACTGTAAATTTTGTTGAGTCTTTTATAAGTTGTGGATTGTGTAGTTACTTTTCTTTGAAAAGGGTGAGTGTTTTTATGTTTAGATTTCTCCATTAAAAAATTATATATCTATATAAATTTGAAAATAAATTGCACTTATTTTCATATTTGATTTTATATTTGTTTACCTGGTCAATCATTTTCTAGGTTAGCTTCTCTCCTAACAAGGGACAAGACAAGAATCAGGATTTATGTTGAGAAATTGTCAAATTGCCCCGGTACTTTCTTTAATTACATCTTATCCCCACTAGTCAACGTTCGCTTGTACCCGGTCCGGTTCAATGCAAGCGCGTTGTCGGCCTATCTATGCTATAAGTGCACGCCAAGCCATAGCAAATCGCTGCTTCTTCTGCTTTGGACGTTTCTGGAAAGGACGAGGCGCGGGGTTCCTAAAGTCAAGCCCTTTCGGCCAACTCTTGAAGGAGAAGGAGACCCATAATCTCGTCTGCTTCTTCTTTCTGGTACGCCTTCTATCCTTGTTCAGTTTGATTCCTTTCTTCGCCGATCTTGGGTTTACTTTTTGTTTGTCGTTGAGCATTAGGGTTTCCTGTGGTGCGTTAGTTTTGTTTCGTATTTGATGTAAAGATCTGATAAACTATCCTTCAATTTGTGATGGATTCATTCTGTCCTTTGATGCGCGGTGCTCATGTATTGCTAGTATAAGGAAATTTCTTTGCGGTGGTTTCTGTAAATTTTTTGGATTTTTGTTATCTTTTATGTGTATTATAACATTATTCAATATACAATTGATTTGCTCCAGGTTGCTTCTGAGACTTCAATCCCTTGGTTTGGGGTAGAGTGCTGCCACAGGCTTTTCCTCTCGGACATATAAGGTAGGAATAGGAGGTTAAATTTGCTTTTGTACGTTGACTCTAAAGATGTTTATTTGCATAACATATCCTTGTGAGATTTGGATTTGCTATGTGGAAATCTTAGTTGTCATAATCATGCGGTGTTTGCTTCGAGATGATTTATTACTATGATTGTTCATAGGCTTTAAAGATTTTTTCCATGTAAAGCTCAATATGCTGAGTGGTTTTATGGGAGATTGAGAATAAGAACCACTACTGTAGAATTGGTGTTGCTTTCTTATGTTTCTCTTAAGGCTTAAATGGTGGTAACCTGTGTTATTGTGTAAATGATCTCAACTTGTTCATTTCCCCATTTACGATAGATTCATAGAGAGCTGTCCTTTTTTCTCGCGTGGTATAATTTTAGGCAAAACATTAAAATATGTATAATATGTACGTTTGATCATTATTCATTTAAGCTTTTGTTTAAAAATCTTAAGGTAGAGCCTGCACTTCTGACAAAATCAATGTTTGTTCGAGTCCCTTGACTTTTAATTTTATTATTTCGCTTTTGTTGCATCATTTCAGTGACGACCTTGATTTTTTAATGAAAGTCACATGTTTTGCATGTATAATGAAGAAAATAAATAATCAAACATTTATTTTGTTTGACTTCCTTGAACTCGTTCCATTTTATGACTTGATTGTCGAACTAACTTTGTTTTTTCTCTTCTGTGAGATGCCCTTCTGGTCATCATTTTACCAAAATGCAGTTGTTGAGTTGGTTTTTAAATACAAATGGACGCCAAGAGATTCCTCCAGCTTGTGGAGGAGAAGAAGAAGAGAATTATGGACAGAAAGGAGGCTCCTTTGAAATGGGAGCAGAAACTGGAATCTGCTGCTAAGGCCAAGGCTGATGCTGAAGCTAAAGAGAGGAAGTTGAAGGCTGCTAAACATAGAAAACGATCTGGCTCTGATAGTGAGTCGGATTATGACAGTGATGGTGAGTATAAGAAGTCCAGTAGAAGAGCTCACAGGAAGCATAGGAAGCATACTCACTCTGACTTGGGTGACCATGATAAAAGGAAAGGGAAGAAATCCAAGAGAAAGACGAAGAAACGGTCCTCAGAATCTAGTGACAGCAGTGATGAGTATGATAGTATCTCTGAGGAAGAGAGGAGAAGGAAGAAGAAGCAAAGCAAGAAGCACAGAGATAGAGGTTCAAGATCAGATTCCAGTGATTTAGACACTAGTGCTGATGAGGTAAGCAAGAGGAAAAAGCACTCAAGAGAACACAAATGCCGAGCTGTATCACGATCAAGTGACTCAGACTTCTCTAGTGATGAAGAGGGTCGGGCTTCTAGAAAGAGTCATAAAAAGCATCATAAACGCCACCGAAGATCTGAATCTAGTGAATCGGACTTGTCAAATGATGAAAATGATACTGCTTATCACAAGAAAAGCCGAAGGAGACACCATAAACATCACAGAAGATCACAGAGTTTGGATATGAGGTCATCGGATTCTGATGATAATGGACATGGCCGAAGAAGCCAATCTATAGGGAAGTCATCAGATGAGAACAATGAAGATTATAGGGGATTAGTGACTAAGAGGCATGGCCACAACCACCACCACCACCACCAGCACAGGCATCGACACCACTTGAATGGGGAGAAAAATGGAAATCATTCTCCTTGCCATCACTTGCCAGAGATGAATGGAAAGCATGACGAATTAAGCAAAGATGTGATTATGAGATCTGATGGAGATCATGCGGATACAGCCGTGGATGAGAACAATGAGGGTGATCATGGCAGTGAACTTGTTTGAGTAGCTATGATGAACGATTTGTTGCCTATGCTTCATTATTATTTGAAGTGACCATCTGGGGTTTGTTCTGAAACTTGCTGAAACCAGTTTAATTTTAATTATTGTCTTGTTATCATCTGCATTATTGACAATTTGAATTTAGAGTTCCTGGTTCCTAATCGGACTGTTCTGTTGACAGTGTTGCCTGTTGCGATGCTGTTATTTTGACTGTTGGAAGCCTGAATAATATTAGGTATTCTCATTCAGTTTTTTTCGCTTCTTAATAATAGCAACGGAGCAACAGGGGAAAAAATCATAAACACCCCTGCCCTCTCTCTCTCTCTCTCTCTCTCTCTCTATATATATATATATATATATATATATATGCGTAAATGTGTGGGTGTATATATGTGTGCGCGCAAAGAACTAATGACGCAATTTGTGTTTTCTTCCTATGCCTTGTTCTTTCCAATTTGGAATTAGAAAATCGGTTTATCCGGTGCAACAGAGGTTGGGAGAATGAATTCGAGCGTCGTGTCATAGTGGAAATATGACTTACACAATGAAAAGCTCGCTGTACGTTGAGACTTCTAGGGCTCTAAGAACCCATCGCACCCTATTTTTAACGTCTCAAGTTCTCAACCTGTGAAAGAACTTTAGTGCGCAACTAGTGTCTTTTCGACATTCAAAATCATGAATGCTTGAACGACCAAATCTAAACAAAACCAACAGGTGGGGAACCTCGTCTTTACTTTGACATAAGAACAAGACACAATGCACATCAAAGGACGGATTCTTTTTATTGTCTTGGCCGGCACTTCCTAAGCCGGTTATGATCCTTGCAGATCCAAGAGCATTGATTTGTCCATTAACGGGCAGTGAACATGAGTGAACATAAGAGATCCTTGGCAGGCAACAGGGCCTTGAGCATACGACCCTAGATATTAGGTCAATCATGATTAAGATTAAGAGCACTCCTACGTGCTGGCTACTCATAAATGCATTTATAGAATAAGACATGACTGTCCTTGGATGGTAGGTGCAAAATCAATATTTATTAAAATTTTGATCCCCTGTTTGGTTGCCGAAAGTGTTCAAATTCTATTATGGGAACTTTGTTTCCCAAAATTAATTTTATTGTACATTCCATGCCGACATACTTTATCCTCAGCAGTGGCAATGGACAAATAATTATATCACTACAACGTGACAATGATACAACAATAACAAAACTTCAGCCGAGTTGTCAGAAGTTTTTCAAAATCTTGTCACTTGAGACTCCATCAGCAGTAAGAATAGACGTCACTTCCTGCAACAGCAAAGTGATTATGCAAGGTCAGCATAGAAACGAGGGCATTGCATATATAGGATACAACAATAACAACAAACATTACCCCACTAAATGGGATCGGTTATATGAATTGTACTACTCCATCGTGTTGCATATATAACATACGCTAACCATTAATTCTTTGCAAAATATGATAGCAAAGCTAGAATAGGCAAGAACTTTGCGAGAATTGTTCCAGGTTATTAAAGTTACATGATAACATTTCGATACTACAAGATCAAGACAATTATGACTGAAATTAAACTCTCCAACTTATTGCTGAACTATTATCACCCCAAAAAAAAATTGCTGGACTGAACTTCAAGAGACCTCAATATCCAGAAAGATATAATGAGACAACTTTTGTAGCAGATTTTTAACTGAGGCAGCATAAGGGAAATCATCATGTAACTCAAGCCAAAACTTGGATGCACCAAGTCAGGCTAGCAAGACACGCCTGGAGGAGATTGTCTCCCAAAAGACAGAGCCTGGGAAGGTAACGTAAGCAGATTTTTTGGGCAATTGATTCCTCAATGCAGAGACGTGTATGGCAATTTACCAAGAGACATATATAGCAGTCCAGGTATCAGCACAAGTATAAATATTTCTGAACAGATGTTCAAAAGCCTTTATGACTAGTTTAGCCTGTCAAAATTGCATATGTTCTGTCTTAAATACCAGATGGTAGGGTTCATCAGGAAAATGAATAAAACCTATATGGACAATAAGTTAAATGACAACACTATGGCCACAGGCATCATGACCAACTTGGTTAAAAGTGAATACCGTGCACAAGAGACTCACATTTGATTGTAGTCGTATTAAAACCAGAAGTCCTAGCAAATATGATGATGCCTAGGGAAGATGTTGTGAAACAGTATGTGATGGAATCACTAAGAAGCCTTTGGCTGGAAGCAACGGCTAGGTTTTTCAAGGATAACACCCATCACACTTGGTGGATGGGAGCATATACTTCTCCTTATGGTCTCAAACTACTGGTTGTTTTTACAGGGTCTCCTCATATGGATATTCAAAGATACTGGGAGGCTCTAATGTGGTACAATCAGATGCGGTCACTCTTAAAGTCCATCAGTTTCCCAGCATGCAACAAGATCGCTCTTTAGACTAAGAAAATCACATATGCTTGCCCAAAAAGCAGTTCCCGAGGAGGAAATCAATGTCATGCAATTTATTTTACTAAAACAATTGTCCTTGCTCTAACCATGTAGAGTCACTTTCTTCTGGTGCTAGTGTGCAAGTGCAAGTGCAAGTGCAAATGAGAACAGGCGAGGGTGAAGGGATAAAAAATGATTCATCAAATTAACCATAGATCATGCCTATATCTATTGCCAACAGAGCTTACTCTCAACATCATCCATCTTCATTGCTACCAAGTAAACTCTTGCTATGGTCACTGCTGATATATTTCACAAGAGTTAACTGAGTAACGTTGCCTGAGTTTAAGAAAATATTCTCTTATACAGACTATGCCAACTTTTTAGATGTATTATGAAGTTAATTTCTTGTTTTTTAAAAAGATTAGAATTTCAAGATAAATAGAGAAGAAAAATTTTAGGTCTATAACCTACTCTCATCAACATTAATAATAATGTTCAGTTAGATTCTTGCTATCATCATATCCTCTCAGGTCAAAAATAAGGAGATCTGCTCACATTTTCATTGGATTCTAAGATTATCATTGAATGATCAACGGTCAATTTGTTTTCAGTCATTATCGATCACCCCACCAATGATAGTTGGCCGTAATTGAAGTCAATTTAAGAAGGAAATAGTGAAGGAACTGAAGAGCTATGAGTTAAATCTTCATCTCAGCTGAATCCAGATCAGCTTGGCTTCTTGAAGCAACTTAGATTGTCATATCTGTCCTACTCTTTATCAAAAACTAGGAAAGAAAATCATCTGGTGAGTTCCGTGAGATAGTCCCATTGGCTTAATGGCCAGAAGGCTATGCTAATAACAGCAATAAACTCGAGTGACAGATAACCAAAACAAAACAAGGCATCATTTTCATACTTTATATAGGCAGAGACAGCTCAAATAAAGAAAAACGGAAAATTAAAGCTCAAAGCAATAGCATCACACCTCAGTCATCTGTTTCTGCCCACAAAGTACCGCACCAGTGGACAAAGGATCAGTAATTTGCTTGGTTCTTGTAAAAGCAGCCTGTGAAGGCAATTACAAGAGAAACGTAAACTAATAGAGTTACAGCTTTAATTAGAGAGTTAAGCTTACAAGCAAGACCACAACATTACCTGCACATAGCCATTTTCGCCGGTCCAATTACCATCTGGTTGAGACAAGACAGGGACAATCTTAACACCAGAAGATTCCCAGTCTTTGAATCTATCCTGTAAAGATAAAGAATATATTTATTAGAATAACCTTGAATTTAAAAAAGCAAAGTTCTATTGCTTTTCTTTCAAACCCAACGCCCGAAAATAGATAGAACGAACCCGATAAGCCATTCTTTGAAGGTTTCTGGCCCCATAATAAAGCATCACATCAGATCTCTCAGCAGCACTAAATCCAGACTCGATGAGTGATCGAATGGGACTATATATAAGGAGGAACCACATGAGTCAAGTTGAATAAACACTAAAGAAAGTGAAAACAGGACCAGGATTGATGGTAACATTTAGCTAATAGAAGAACAACCGTCATGCATTCAGGATGAGCCTTGGATTCGATGCTAGTTTGTCAAATAGATGCACAATAGTGCATAGATGATAACAGAAGCATACAAAGCGACCAGTAAAATCTATAGCAATCTATTTATTAGTGTACATGGAACATTAAATGACCCTTCCAGCCCCATATCACCTTCTCAGTAACCAGGCATGGATTCTTTAGTGAAAATCAGAAGCTCCCATATTGAGGCACAAATAAAAGTATTTCAAACTTCAAATAGCTTTAAATGAAGATTCTGAGTGCCCGGTGGCAAAGAGAATGAGCTCACGAAGGAGCTCTTCAGAGCATTGCTTAGTTAGCTTATATTGTCCCATTATCAATTCCTTCAACTAACTTTTCAAACCAACTAGGCAAGCCTCGAAGAGCCTCAGTTAAAAAGCTAAAGTTTCAGCCGGTATACGAAGCAGAGGCCACCTATAATGATGAATATGACAACTTAATCAAGCTTTCCAATCCACCACTAATGTGAATCAAATTTGAATAGATATAAACCCATGCAACTACGACGTTCTACTTGTTATTACAAGTAAGCTTCTAATTTGATGAAGAAAAGCATCCTGGGCATTAGCATTTTAAAACAAAAATGCAACTTCGGTAAAGACTCGCCTAATTCCGGATCCAGTCGCAAAAATAAAAACCGTTGGATATTTCGCAGGTGGATCTATCCGACTCGTATCGAACCCATTCCCCATAACCTGACTCAGTTCCACCACAGCCCCTCTCTTCAACCCGCATAGAATCTCGGCGGTAGATCCCGGCACGCTCTTTACAAGAAACTCGAAAACGCCACGGGCCGAAGCGAGCTTCGGAGGCGAGGCGATAGCAAGGAAGGAAGGCTTGGATCCGTCAGGAACTCGCAACTGGAGGTACTGCCCGGCCCGAGTGTGAGATGCGGCCAAATCAGGCGAGTCGGACAAGTCGACAGTGACGTGAAAGAGGGACTCCGCTGCAGGTTCAACCTCGGAAAGCGGGGCAGGGGTCCAGACGGTGGTATCCTGCCTAACGGCGGCGGCAGCGACGGAAGCGAAGCGATGGCGTCGGAGGTTTAGGCGGCGTGGGAAGGGATGAGCTAGGCAGCGTAGAATAGACATGGGAGGAAGGGATGGCCTAAGGTGCGCATTAGGGCAGAGGGAAGAGGAAGAAGGAAGAGAGGGTGAGAGAGAGAGTGACATAGCTGTTGTCTTTCGTATGAAAGCTTATATGAATGTAGGAGACTGGTCACGGAAGGGCTGGCCGCCGACTTGGGTGGACGGAAGAACGGCAAGTTTTAAGGGGGGGGGTGTGATACGGTCGCCCTCAGCGCGTATTGGCTGGGGAGGCTGAAGCGGCTTCCACGTGTCATCCAAGTTATCTGGTGGCTCGCCACTGGCCAAGACCCTATCATTTTGGAGAGAAATTGGGTTGGGTCGATTGCTTTTCAATTAACAAAAGGTGAACTAAATTAAGTTCATTAGAAATAACTTGATGATTCGATTTTGACTCCATTAATTCAGTTTTTAAAATTTTACTCAACTTTTAAACTGTAATCATTTTTTAAAAAATTAAGTATTTTCTAAAAGTATAGGGGCACTAAATTAAATAGCTAAATTTTGAAAATTGAGTTAAATAAGTTAAATTCCAAAAATTGAGTTATACCTTACTCATGATTATAAAAACTAAATAACTAATTTTTTTTTAATATTACATCACTGAAAAAAAAATCTAACTACCAAAACTTCTTTTTGGGTGCCAAAAGGCAAAACTCAATTCAAGCCCTATATTTCATTTTATTTTTAAATGAGAATATTTAAGTTGAATTATTTTTTCAGAGAATTACCTAGGTCACAAGCAAAAAAAAAAATTACTGAAAAATTTCAATGACAAACAAAATATTTGTCATTACAAATTGTTATTGAAATTCTTTAATAATTATATTTTTTAAAAAATTTTAAGGTAACCCTCCCTCATTTTTTTTTCATATTAAGTCTTAAGCATAGTTACATGTAGAATGAAATAGAACAATTGAAAATAAAATAGAACAATTGTTAAATATGGAATGAAATAGATCAATTGTAATCCCTCTAGTCACTTGGACAAGGTGTCTTCTAAACATAACAATTAGTTCAAAATTCTAAATTATAAAGTGCATAATCAAAATATCAAATAATGTTTTATTTTTATTTTGGATTAATATAATTTTTTGTCCTTGAAATTTGGTCCCATTTTAGTTTTAGTCCTCAAATTTGAAACATATAGTTTCAGTCTCTAAAATTTAGTTCATTTTCAAACATTAGTTCCTAAATGTATAACGATATTAAAATCAACTGAAGTATTGTAAACAGCGTTAAAGTAATGATATGAACTCATCATATAATATCTAAATAGATTTTATATGGATAACAGAGAAAGAAGAAAAAAAAAAAACAGGTTTTCAAAACACAGTTTAATCCACTTTTTTGTTGCTCACTTTTCGTTTGAGGAGTTGAGTTATTCACATCTTGAGAATTGATCCCCCTCTATATACTAGTTATGTTATTCACACAAGATTCAAGTAGATGTAATTTAATAAGTTTATATTATCACTTTAACACCATTTTCAATACAATACCTTGATAGGTTTTAATATCATTACATTTTCAAGGACTGAAATTTAAAGACGGATTGAATTCTAAAGACTACAATTACAAATTTAAAATTTAAAAAGCCAAAACCAAAATAAGTTCAAATTTCTTTTAAAAAAATCATATTAACTCTTATTTTCCATCACTTTTATAACTTTCCAGTAGCGTTAAATAATAATAATAATAATGAAACCCCCTCTCAATTGAAATATGATGATATTTTTGAACGAATAAAACAATATAATAACTCTTTATCTACGGGAGAAACTGTTGATTTAAAAAAAAAAACGCGCGAAACAATGTTATACAAACTGGAGGCATTACACTGAAATCGAGAATACGCAGGTAACTTGCAAAACAAATTTCATGTTATTGACCTAGGAAAACACATTAAGGTACATAAATAAACGTTGGGTTACAGCAAAATAAAATAATTCAAAAATTTTCGAAATAAAAACTGCTGACAAAGTTGATAAAATGTTCAAATACACATTGTATTATTGTAAAACCGCTTCAAAACTGAAATCGTTCGTGAACAAGTTCATGGCTAATGATTTTTCATTACTGCTTATCCAGTCCAAATCCATTAACATGATACCCGTAAATAGCAAATAGGGGGGAGAAAAAAAATGAAAAACACTCGAAAAATCAGATTTGCTTCTCTAACAGCATGAGAAAAACTCAGCCAAAGTCCTGAACATTGATGCAACCCATGTTTCTGAACAAGAACAGCAGAAATGTACATGTTCTCTTGCCTTTTTTCCCCTTATTAACACAACTGAAGGGGGGGGGGTGCATGGGGCCACAGGCTCCGTTTCACTTTCACAATTGGCAACAAGATTTTGAAATGGAAATGGAAAATCCCGACACATGGTACCATGAGAGAAAAAATTGAAAGATTCTGTCATTTGGCATTGCCCAGAGTTCCTAAGTTATTGATTTATGCAACTATCAAAAAACGGATCAACAAAGTAGGATAGCTGTGTGGTTATGAACTTATGATGTTGATTCCTTAGCAATCTTATCTGCCTTTGCAACAACCTCATCGATACCTCCGACCATGTAGAATGATTGCTCAGGAAGGTCATCGTATTTGCCATCCAACACACCCTGTCAAGTATAAAACAAAACAAAACAAAAAATAATAATAATCAAGACCAGGCGAGGAAAGGCTTCATATTTTAAAAAAAATAATCAAGACTTAGACCAGGCCAGGAAAGGTTTCATATTTTTCCACTTCTTGCCGGCCTTTTCATAATATAATGTTTGAACTCATTTTTTGCGCATCAGTTCAAAGGAAAACCAAGGTGAAGGTACATTGGTTAAACTAGCAAAATAGAAAATCTACCATCCAAAATAATTGAAACAAACAGAATACAAACACTAAGAAACTGAGTTGCGAGAATTAACATGTTCTACTTTATTTTGTTTCGAAAGGGGGTTTACTTTCAAAATGGTGCTTTGGCCCTTAGAAGAAGGCCAAAGAAATTCCAACACAAGTTAAGAGTTAAAACTACTGGAAATGTCTACGGATAGACAAGCGCATTAACTCATGAGTCGATCAAGTAACTCAAGCAAATCGTAATAAAAATTAAAGCTAAAGGTCCTTACAGAGCATCACAAGACATATATTTCATTTTCATAAGGGCAAGGAAGCAGATACCACCACACAGTAAACAAAAACATTCCACATTTTTTTGGCACTGCTAAAATGCTTAATGAAAAAGCATGTATGAAGTCTCCCGTTTAATGTGGCTATATATATTAAAATCCAAACTGGCAAAAGTACTATTTACTCAATAAGACAAGCATATACCTGGAAGCTGTTGATGCTCTCCTTCAAGTCTACGTATTTACCAGGGGCACCAGTGAAGACTTCAGCAACATGGAAAGGCTGGCTCAAGAAACGTTGGATTTTACGTGCACGAGCAACAGTCAACTTATCATCTTCACTGAGCTCATCCATTCCCAAAATGGCAATGATATCTTGAAGATTCTTGTAGTTCTGAAGTACTTTTTGTACACCACGAGCAGTATTATAATGATCCTCACCCAATATAAGGGGTGAAAGCATACGAGATGTAGAATCTAAGGGATCAACAGCAGGATAGATACCCAGCTCAGAGATCTGCTCAATAATTTCAAAATTGTTAATTAGACCATGACACAGAAACATCAGTACAACTGACGCTACAACTGACGCTTCACAAGACACAACCAAACCTGTCGTGATAACACAGTTGTAGCATCCAAGTGAGCAAAAGTGGTAGCAGGAGCTGGATCTGTCAAGTCATCAGCAGGCACATAAATAGCTTGGACAGAGGTAATTGAACCCTTCTTGGTGGTTGTAATACGCTCTTGAAGACCTCCAAGGTCAGTAGCCAAGGTTGGTTGGTAACCAACAGCAGATGGGATACGACCAAGCAAAGCAGACACCTCTGAGTTGGCCTAAATGATGAAGCACAATGTAAATTGAACATTAATGTGTGGGGGGGGGGGGGGGAGAAGGAACTTGGAAATAAAAAAATTGCAAATAGGGACCCATTACAAATTAGTATGGGTTTTGACAACAATTTTTGTGAATGGGTCCCTGTATGCAATTTTTTTTATTTCTAAGGTCTGTTTTTGCGATTTTCCCTTAATAGAATGACCACATGTACTGAACAGTACAGAAATTAGCTAAGTTTGTTGAAAACATCCATACCTGGGTAAAGCGGAAAATGTTATCAATGAAAAGAAGCACATCTTGCCCTTCAGCATCACGGAAGTGTTCAGCAACTGTAAGCCCAGTCAGACCAACACGGGCACGAGCACCAGGGGGCTCATTCATTTGACCATACACAAGAGCACATTTACTCTCACTCTGTAAAACAAAAGACATCAGCATCACAATAAACGGAATAGAAGAATACTGAGTATCTCAAAATACTATGTTCACCTGCTTGTCACCAAGCTTAATCACACCACTCTCAATCATTTCTCTGTACAAGTCATTACCCTCTCGGGTTCGTTCTCCAACACCAGCAAACACGGAGAAACCACCTACACAACAATACCCTCAGCATTCATACAAACAGAGGAGCAAGAACATCTTGACAAGTAATGAAGAGCATTTATGCACATACCATGAGCCTTCGCAACGTTGTTAATAAGTTCCATGATGAGCACAGTTTTTCCCACACCAGCACCACCAAACAATCCAATCTTTCCTCCTCTTTGGTATGGTGCAAGCAAGTCCACAACCTAAGGGCAATAGTAATAAGAAAATGGCACCCAGTTATAACACATATATTCCCAGACAATCAAAGCATGTGGATGCAAAGTTTTAAAATACATATATACATACACTCCAATGAACAGATAGAAAAAGAAGCAGAAGAAAAACACCTTAATTCCTGTCACAAGGATCTGTTGTTCAGTTGCTTGCTCAACAAAAGCAGGAGCTTCTCGATGAATTGGCAAGAAGTGCTCAGTTTCTATGGAAATCAAAACAATACGGTCAGCAGAAACACCTCACCAAAAGGACAGCACAACTTCTCAAGTACTGGCAGACATAAATTGATTTATGATTTCTTACTGAGGTCACCCTTCTCGTCAATAGCCTCTCCAATGACATTAATGATACGTCCAAGTGTAGCCCTACCCACAGGAACCTAAAGAACAAGCATAAATTGCATCAGAAAATAGGAAATAAAGAGAGGACAAAAACAAATATAAAAGACCAAGCAAGCGCAATCCATCTCCAATGGGCGTCAAGTGCTAGACTAGATTAAAAAGTGATAGGGGAGGTGAACAAAATCAGTATATCCAGATACCAGCCAAACTAAAACCATATTTGTATGCACTTTAGGTTCAGAAAGCAAGAATGCATCCACTTCAACACCAATCATCACAGAGACGTGAAGTCAAGAAGCAATTCTAACATGCTGACTAAAAAAGATAAGAACCGCATCATTATTCAAAACGCAGTTAGGAAGCATTAACAAAACAAATATATTCCGGCAAAACAAAAAAAAATTATCCATCTGACTTGTTCAAGATAATGATCTCAATATATAAATAAAAAATTGTCAGTACTCTTCATCCCGATCTTCACGCCATTGAACTCACAACAAAACCAAGGAACAATATGATTTTCCGACTAGGCTATAACAGTAGCAGAAATTTATAGCGACCAAAATGGCACACGCACTTTAGGTCAATTTCCAAAGGAATAGAAATACACCGAGATCTGTGACTCATTCTAAAAGCCTACAGGTTCATGGTGGAATTGACTAAACTTGACATCGTCCGATGCAGTTAGACACGGGGAAGTCGAACCCTTCTAAAAAAAACCAAATTTTTCCTCACCAAATCAAATTGCAAAACTCGAAAAACACTAACAATGCAATGCGATCAAGAAATATAATGCGATTCGAGACTCACGGTAATAGGAGATCCAGTGTTGAGCACGCGCTGTCCTCTGACAACCCCTTCAGTTCCATCCATAGCAATAGTCCTGACCATGTTCTCACCCAAATGCTGAGCCACCTCCAACACCAATCGAATCGAATGGTCCATAACCTCAAGGGCAGTCAAGATCGGAGGCAATCCCTCCTCGAATCTAACATCTACGACAGCACCAATGACCTGGCACACCTGACCGATCGCACCCTTTCCAGTGAACTCATCAACAATCTTGCCACCACCGGTTCCGGGATCCTTCTTGGCCGGAGGAGATGGAGCGGCAGCGGCGGCAGCTGATGTAGCATACTCAGTGATACGGTTGAGGAGGTAGCCATAAGGAGAAGGACGATGCGACACAGTTGAAGAAGAAAGTCTGGGTCTGGGGCTGGTAATGGAAGATTGAGCAGAAGATCGACGAAGGGAAGATCGAATCAGAGAAGATACGAGTCTGCGTGAAGCCATCTTGAGAAGGCTTCAGGTAGAGAAACAGAAAAGAGGGCTAGGGTTTGTTGAGTGAGAGAGAGAGTGAATGGGACTATATGCAAAACAACATAGCTCAAAAACGGGAAAGTGAATTTTTTTTTTCCTCTTTTTTAAAGTTTTAACTGAACTCAAATCTGAATATTGTTAGGGCTCGGATTTAAACGTAGGAGAGAGGGACAGATGGACGTCCAAAGGGTGTCGTCTAAAGGATTTTGACCTGGACAATGTCGAATGTATGACTTGGCTGGCATGATCGTTCTTCTCTCTCCTTTGCTTCCTCTTCTCTCCTCCACGCAAATGGGCGAAAATTCCTGCGGGGAATTCAGAACCCGGATCCGGGTATTAGCTTTTTGGGCCGCTAGAGCCCCAAGGGGCATCTCATAGTACATTCTTTTGCTTTTTTTCTTGTCAATAAGATTATTATAATTTATAATATTAATATTAAGTATTAACAGTGATAATTTTTGTAATTAAAATTTTTATTTGTAAAATTTAAATAGTCATTTTAAGTAACTAATAGACATTGGTCTTGGTCCTACCGAAAAGAGCTTTAATTGCTTGAGCATATAAGTTTTTAAATTTGAGTTTCTACAGATATGGAAGACATCATTAAGAAAGCTATTTTTATTTTAACACGACCAAAACAACAATAGTGATAGTGACTAAATGGCAATTGTAACTCTAAAATCAACCAAAACATCAATGTGACCATATAAGAAAATCAAACAATAAGAGTTTAAATGGCTAAATGCCATGCTTTTATTGGCAGAAGAGAACTATAAACTACAAAGTGAATTTCATTTTTTATTAATCCAAATTGAAGTTTGAAATCTAGCGCGGTGGACAGTAGGGGTGAATATTCGGTTTTTCGATTTGGTTATTGGTAATAACCAAATTAACTGAATAACCAAATAGAGTAAATTTTAAACACCGAATCGAAACCGATTAATCGAACTAACCGAAACTGAACTAACTGAAAATTTCGGTTCGATTAACCGATTAACTGAAATATATAAATATGAAAAATAATTTTAAATTAAAAATAATAATAAAACACAATTACAACTATTAATTAATTAATATTTCATCATTCTATGTTATTTATTATAATAATATTCATTATAACCATATTTATTGAATATAAATATATTTAAAAATTCACATATACCCACATATATATTTATTATAATAATATTTATTAAATATAAATATATAATATATTTATTTCGGTTATTCGGTTATAACTGAAATTTTTTTCTACTAACCGAACCGAACACCGAAACCGAATTATTTTAAAAATAAAAATCGAATATATAATCGAAAACCGAAATAACCGAACCAAAAAACTGAAATTAAATTCGGTTCGGTTCGGTTTTCTGTTACGGTTCGGTTTTGCTCACCCCTAGTGGACAGTGAGAAAGTCATTGACGAGGAAGGAAAATTAAGGGGGGAAAACAGACAGAAAATGCAAAAGTTTCTCGAGAAAATTTTCAAGTTATTTCTAGTAAGGTCCTGACATTAGCACAATAGCTTATACTTTTGCAGTGTTTTGAACATTCATTAAAGCCTATAGAATTCTGTGATGAAAATGCATTGCACTTCAAAACCATGCAGGAGATCGACGTCCAAGCATAGACAACAGCAACTTGAACTTGTCTTTCTATCTATCAATGTTTTAAAATCTGTATGAAAATACTACTTTTCTGGTGTTCAATAAAGAGTTAGGTAACTGATTTGGAGATATTAAAAAAATTAGTTAAGTTAGTTATTTGTCATAAATATGTATTCATCTCCCTAAACTATTTTTTTTTAATCATATACATTTGATGATTGAAATTATCTTTTGATAGAAACTCTTACAATCAATATATATATTTTAAAGAAAGAAGATAAATAAAATGGATTGAGATTTTATATTGAAAACGAAATTAAATTTTTAATTAGCTCTTATGCTAAAGACCGAATATAGCATAAAGCAGCCCTCTCCTGATGAAAGCATTTTAAAGAGAGAAGCATTTATAGAGAAATTTTGGACTTGTTTCAGCAGAGGTTTCACAAAGAACTGCAACGGCTTATGCTTACAAATGGCTGGTGAAGTGGTCCACGAGACCAAGGAATGCTCTTTGTCTATAAAATGAATTTTCAGCATGTCGTGTAGAGGAGCAAAATTTTATTTGAAGCATGGCATGAAAAAAAAAAATCGAATTCCTATGGAAAAAAACTACTGTAATTAATATACATTCCTCGTATAAAAATAATTAGGGGAAAAAGGGAAGATATATGCCATCGTGTTTGTGTCACGTATTTTTTCTTCCTTTCTGTAAGAAATGTTCCTACGGCTCCACAACTATGCTAGTTTTCTGAGTTAAATCCACTGCTTTCCTTGCCTGCAAGAAGTTGAAGACGAAGAAATACATTAACCATGGCAACAAACCTTAGTTATACTTGGACTAATAATTATCAGAATTTTTAATTATGATTTCAAATAATATTTGAATTTTGCAGAGTTCAATAAATCTAATTTTGTTTATATTAGAATTTCGAAAATAATTTCAGCTACATTCAGTGTTATAATAGTATCATTTCTTGAACGGAATATTCAACAGAGAAATTAGAGAGAGAAAAATCACGCAAGTATAAGCAGTGTTCAGGATTCAAATCCCTTTATGTAACCCAAAAAAAAGGTCAACAAAATTTGAATTGCTGTGTAAAATTTGACATTCTTAGAACCCTACAGAACTTGATTTCATCTTAACTTATTTCAATTGAGTTAGGTTTGGTGTTTACCTCTTGAGTCCAATCAGTACAAGCATTTACGGTAACGAGTGCTATCCCCTGAACAGTGAGTCCACAAATGATCCCCATCCATAGCCCCTGCATATAAATTTCAGCTTAGTGTTGTAATTAAACACTACCATTTGAACAAAAAGTTTATAATTGACGATTATGAAGTAAGAATATGAATGATTAATTAAAAATTCAAATGTATAAATAAAGGAAGGAAGCAGAGACCCACCATGCCTCCAATATGAAGGAAGAAGGCAAATAGGACTGCAGAAGGAATTCCCACAACATAGTAAGCACCAAGGTTTATAAATGCACACAGATTTTGCCAACCACACCCTCTCGCAGCCCCTATTTATATACATAGAGCAGCCATTATTAGTAAGGGATTGATATAAAAAAAAAATTTGATGTGATGAGAACAAACACATAATATCTAGGTCACGCATCAAATTTGACTTTGTCCAATAAGTTGACCCAACCTACCATAGTGGGCATTCACGCGATGGGATGCAATCGAGACATCCTTGTCTTGCATTTTGTCCCAAAAAACATAACGGGATGACATTTTCATCTAGCATCCTATCCCATTCAAGTCACAATTTTGTGCCGGCCCCAGTACGTTCTATCCTAGTCTTCTTTTGGATAAGGCTGTCTCATCCCAACATGACTAGGATCAGGACGGGATGGCTAAGATAGATACATTCTATCCTATCCTATAGCATAGATAGAATCAAACTTACTAGACTATCAAATTAGTTGAATACCCTAAATTTAACCCTAAGAAGAGTATTTTATCTGATTTTTTTTGACAAAAGGGTACTTCATCTAACTTGATTGTGTATTATTTATGCTAGTCATTTTGATCAAGGTCTTCTCTCTGCCACAAAATCAAGTTAACCCCTAAATTTTAAACAAGAGATTATGCATGATGTGAAAACATTTGTGAGGAGAAAGAAGAACCTGAAAGGACGCATTGGAAGCCATCGAGGAAGTCAGAGAGAGCAAGAAGGGGCATCATGGAGGCAACATAATGGATGACCTGAGGGTCATTGCTGTAAAGCTTTCCCCACACATTTCTCATCAAAATCGTCAGAACTGCGATTGTGACGCCCTCGCATATCACCATAGTCATCATCACTCTAATTGCCAATACGGCACCGTCTGAGTTCCCACTTCCCAATTCATTTGCCACCCTTGTGCTGTTCATCACCAATCACTGTTATTACAAGTACCATGCACTAACTACTTGCTGTAATTAAATACTGCCTTTTATCCTAAATATAAGATCTAATTTCTAAAAAAATTTACATTACAAGCTATTACCTCCGGTTATTAATATGAGAACTAAATAACTAATTTAGGGATATTAAAAAAATTATTTTAGTTAGTTGTTTGTTGTAAACTTGTGTTAGTCTTCTTAAACTATCTTTTTTTAATCATATACATTAGAGCTATCCCTTAGTAGAAACCTCTTATAATCAATAAGAATATTTTCAAAAAAAGTCAGGGACAAAATGGATTAAGATTTTTTATTTATGACCAAATTTAATCTTCTAACTAGATTAAATTAAGGACCGGAGGTAGTAGATCTTATATTTAAGATCAAAGGTAATATGTATTAGCATGTCAATTACCTTATTGCTCCACCAAGACCAACAGATATCATGTACACCATCCAGCAAGTATTGAGACTGCACATTACAGAATCTTAGTTCATCAATTCTTGAAGTAATTACTATAAAAGGAACTTAGATGTCTCCAACAGACACATTCCAATGTCTACCAAAAATATATTTATAGACTTATTTTGCTAATAAAAGCATATTTTTTCATTATAAATGAACATTGGCAGGATAGAAGGGTGACAATGATAGATAGGTTTAACTAATAATTACCTGATGGACAATACAGATGTCTCTAGTTGTGGATTTGGCAGAAGACCTGATAGCAGAACAACCATCTCGAACGACCAATACTCAAAGCTGTCAAACATTTATAATACTTAGCAAATTTATGAATTAAATTGAGTTTAATATGGTTATTAATTAACATTAAAAAGGAGAATAATAAGGAGGAGCTAGTAACCATATCATAACAGCTGAAGGAACTGCAAGCTTGATGAAAGTGAAAAGATTAAAGAAGGCCTGTTTGGAGAAGCCATGCCAAGTCTTTGCACAGCTTGGAGCCACATTGATATAACCCACCAAAAGAATCACATTAACCCAATACGAAACGGATATTGCCAATGCTGCTCCTTTGCTTCCAAGTCCACATCCAAACACAAAAACCCAGCAAAACCCAACATGCACAACAGTTGTGACTCCTGAGCTCACAACAATTGGAAACACATTGTTCTGAGTCTGCAGAAACCTGTTGAGGCACTGAAGGAGACTGTAGGCGAACACGCTGGGGATCAGCCACCGGTTAAATGTCCCGGCCTCGGCCGATATGTCCCGGTGTTGGCCGAGGTTTGTGAGGATGTTGCAGGTGTTGTACAAGATTACAGATAAGGGAATGGACAAGCAAAGCAGGACAAGCATTGCTCTTTGTGTGTGGATTCCTAACATGTGGTATTGTTTGGCTCCGTAGGCTTGGCCACATAGTGTTTCTAATGCACTTCCCATCCCTAACTGTCACACATTTGAAATAAAAGCTTCTAATCATCAATCTAAAACTGAAAAATTAAGGCAGTAAGTTTATGTATCATTTCAAATACTCCTCTGGTCCTATTTGTAGGGTAGAGGATAAGACATTTTTTGTTATATTTATAAGGTACTGAGAGAAATTTTTTGTATCAATATACAATTTTACCCTTCATTTATTATTATGTTGACTTTGTTTGCATGACGTATAATGCATACTAAATAGGGATAAAATTAAAAAATTGTTTAATTTTAAATGAGAGTTAATAAAATTTAAGATTTTTCTTAGTCTATATGAAACATGTTAGAAGTGACTGATAAATAAGACCAGAGAAATATATGTCTTTTATTAAACCCAGTTCTACCAATATCAACTAGACTGTGCCCAACGAGCTATATTGCTTGTGATTTGTAACTAGTGTGAGCTCCTGTTAGTGTTATATATATATGTTGGACTATGCTTTGAACATAAAAATTTGCGTGCCAACAAAAATGCATGAGAAGCATAAAACAACAATAAGATTTCATAATAACTTAAGAGTTTCAAAATTCCTATTAGACTTTTGCATTATTGCTTGTTACAAGCATAAGTCTAAAGAGAGAGTCCATCCAAAAGACTATCAAAAGGAAGAATCTAATTCTAAAAGATTGACTTATTAGGTGGAATAGTTTTTTAAACCTATAAATGACCTTTCATTTATAAGCTAAGGTTCACAACGTTGGACTCATAACATACTATAAAAATAACTGCAAGTTATATATTACCTCTGGTTCTAATTATAAGGTCTCGTTTGCAGAATTATAAAACCTTATTTATAGACTACAAACGAGGTCTTCTAATTAGGACCGTAGGTAGTGTGTGTATGCGCGCGCTATATGTAAAGAGAAAGGAAAAGGACCAGAACGCTGAAACCAGTGACGTTGGCGAAGGAGGAGGCCAAGGAAGCACCAGAAAGAGGAAGAGTTCCAAGACGACCAACGAACATGATGGCTATAACCTGCAAGCTGTATTGAAGCAGACTCACTCCAATCAGCGGCCCTGCCAGCCATATCTGTCTCTTTGCTTCCTCCACCACGTCCTCCGTTGATCTAAACCCACACAGACAACAACCTCTTCGTCCTTCTTCTGTTGTTTCTTCACCACCATCTTCAAGTTCGTCATGGTTCCTTCTTGTTCTTCTTCCGTCTTCATTTGGAGAACACAGAAGTTGAGTCTCCAGATTTGATTTGTTTGTTTCCATCTCAAAGGCTCACCAGGCAATCTCCACCACTGGATTCATATTTTGTCTTCCTTTGCTTGTTTGCTTGGGACAATATATATAATACTATCACTGTGTGGTGACATCAATTATTAATAATGTTTTACTATTATTAAATTAATGTAATGGCGTATGCATATGATCGGACAAGTGTTAACTGCACCAAGTAAAATTAGATTTGACAATATTATTATCATAATTATTCTGCATCACATCAATGAGTCGGACGCTCTAGTCTCGCCATGTGCGTAGATCAGTTGTATTGTTTTAAAATTTTGAAGTGACGTATAATATGAGTTAATACAATTTTTGGTTTATCAATTTTGTTTTCATTATGATTTTATTCTCTTAAATTTTTTTAATTTAAAATATTAGTTTTTATAATTCAATAAAAACCTAGGAGTGTTTGGCAATCACCAAAAGTACTTTTAAAAAGCACTTCTCTGTAAAACGAGACAAACTCTACTACATATTTACTTCATAAACTATAAAAGTACTTTTAAAACCATGGTTTGATTTTCACCCAAACACCCTTTTAAACCATTTTGTTTTTTGAGGGACTAAAACCTGTATTTTAAAACTTGAGGAAATAGAACCAAAATAAATAAATAAAAATTTGAGGGACCAAAGATCATATTAATTTTTTTAAAAAAAAAGTATCAATGAGTCAAATGCACTAACCTTTTGCTTATGGTATTTACCATGTCCGTTACCTATGTTAGGGTTCATGCTTGCTAGTTGTTGTATATTTTCCTTTTTTAACATCAGAGGTTGTCGTTTATTTTCAATTAAAAGCAAATCAAGCTATTATTTCTGAGCCAACTGAAAAGTTTATTTTTAAAATAACATACACTAACAATCCTTTTATGTTACCATGATTAAAAAAGACTCCTTGCTCTATTTTAAAATCTACACAAACCTCCTCTAGAATTAAAAAGAAAATGTTAAAAATGACAACACCGTCAGCAAGAAAGGTGAATTAGGTGTTAAAAAATTCTTTGTAAAGATGTTTAAACTATCTTATCAAAGACAAGGTGTATGTTAAAATTTTTTAAACCAAAGAAAAATTGACATTTATAACAAGAGTATTTTCAAGTTACAAATACTTAACAATCCTACTTTATCAGTATAACTAAAATGAAGAAAACAAGTGCATGTTAAAATTTGTTGAAAATGATTTTTAAAACATTAGGGTTCACGCTTGCTAACTCTCATTTATTTTCAATTAAAAGCATATCGACCCATTCACTCAACTAGTCGATCGAGGAATTTATTTTTAGAATAAAATATATCAGCAACTCTTTTATTTTATCATAATTACAAAGATTCTGCTCTTTTTGAAAATCAATATAAATCTTCCTAAAATAAAAAAGTACCACCTTCAATCTTATTTATAAGATTTTGTTTATAAACTATAAACAAAGTCTTATAATTAAGACCGATGGTAATATGTCACATAAACTTACAAAATTTTGGGATTTTGTTTTCATTCACTTAATTATTAATTAATTGTTAAGTCGAACCCAAACTTTTTTTTTTACTAAAATATCTTTATTTAACATAAGAATTATTTAAACACTGATATTTTTCAAGAAATGATTTTTTTTTTTTACAAAACCAAAAGATAAGTCTAATTCATATATTTTAAAAATTAATATGAACTTTAATATTAATTTTGTAATTTTACTTTTTTAGATTTATCGAAACCTATTTCTTTACTTTTCTTTTAAATAACTAAAAATATATTTTAAATAGATATTTTTCAAAGAATAATATTGAATGGAGTGTCAAAGCCGGGAATGGAAAATTTTAGGAGGGAAGATCACAGTACCATTAAATTCTTATTTAAAAGCAATATTACTATTAAGGCCGTTCACGGGACGGATCGGGACCGGGACAGACCCGTCCCGATAAAAAGTAATGGGATAGATTTTGTGTCCCGTGTCCCATCCCGGTGTTGTTCCGGTCCTGATCAGGATGGAACGGATCCGAGACGAGACCAAGACGTCCCGATGTATTTTTTTTTTAATTTTTTAATAAAATCTGATTTTTTTTAGTTATAGCTTTTTGGGCTTAGGCCTTGTAAAAACATCTTTTTATTTTCTTTTTTATTTATTTGGGTACCCTTAAACAAAAGCTAAAATATTACATATAATAGTTATTAAAAACTCTAAACAAAAGCTATACAATAAAAACTTGTTAAAAATTCTAATAATCAATAGTCTCAAATCATCAACAAATATAAAAGCTCTAAATAAATATATCAATAGTTTTATATAATAGTCTCAAATCTTAAAAAAAAAAAAAAAAATGATATTATATAAATAGGATAAAAAAAATATAAAAAAATAAAAGGGACCGGGACGGGATCACCCCATCCCGTGTCCCGTCCCGTCCCGGTTCTTTTTTTTGTCCCGTCCCAGTAAGGCCGGGACTGGAACGAACTGACTGGGACCGACCGACCTTGAACACCCTTAATTGCTATACTGGGAAATCGATGAAATTGCCCCAAAATCAGCCAAGGAGCAGGTCCGTCCACCATCAGCTTGATCGAAGGATAAAAAATCTCACTGCCGAGGAAATGACACAGAGTGTCGGAGGCACCATGGACGTTCATGCCAATGCGGCTAGTCAGATTCCCAAAGCGGTTGATTCTGTTAATGCAACGACTCTCATATCTTACAAGGACACTATGCTTCTCCTCGGTTTTGATGCTGTGGATGATGAAATGGAAGATGTTGATGATGATGATCAAATGCTAGATGACAAAGAGGAGGCCGCTAGCGAGGTGTCTGAGGAGTCGGAAAAGTCGACGAAGTCAGACTTTATTCCAGTCCTACATGTTACCGATGAACAGTACAGAGAGTGGTGCCGGCCACGAAGAAATGCTCCAATTCAAAGATGAACAGTGCTGACAAACACACTAAACAAGCAAGAGCCTATTCAATTCAAAGATGATGATTTTCTATTTAGGTGAGATAAAATCCTATCTCATTCATTCGTTAGTTTTATTTCGTCCAAAATTCAACTTGAGATAGTTATAAGAGAATGTCGAGGAAGGATCTCATCTTAGCATATCATTGTATCTCACAAAAATATTTACATAACCAGAGAAAATTCAAATTGTTAGGATTCATATTCAAACGGTAAATTAGCCAAAGAAAAAAAGCCATCAAGAGGTAGGTCCCTTGTATTTTAAAAATTAATAATACTCTTCCGGTCCTAATTATAAGACCCAATTGACTTATTTGAGGAGATTAAGGAAGTAAGTTAAGTTGGTTATTTATAACAATTTTAAAAAATAATTAGGAGACAAAAATAAACTATAACAATTTTAATCATTATTGTATTATAATAAGGACCAAATAAAAAGTCAAATGGGGTCTTATAATAAGGATCGGAAGAGTAATATTTATTTTTTAAAAAATAAAAATAAACTATAACAATTTTAATCATTATTGTATTAATGTATACGGAGAATTAAAAAATACCTCTAAAATTTCAAATCCCACATTAGGAATGCTTATAAAAATATATTGTCACTTATTTTTTAAATATTATAAATTATTATTAAAATATAATAAACTAGATTGAGTTAAAATTTTTAAATTTAAAAAATATTGTTCTGCTCCCTAATATCATATTACTTTTAGTCTTAATTATAAAACATTATTTACAGATTATAAACAGCTCTTATATATAAGACGAGTTATGAAGTGTTTGGATAGAAATCAAACTATAGTTTTAAAAGTGTTTTTACAATTTACAAAATAAATATGCGAATAAGTTTATTTTATTTTACTGAAAAGTGTTTTTTTGAAAACATTTTTTTGAGGGTCGCCAAACACGTTTTAGTATATTGTTCCTTCCTGACATCATTTGTTGTTCCAACCTTCAGTTTCCTGTGCGGGTTTATGCGCCGTATTTTCCTTTACCTTGGGAGCACTCGCTGTCACCAAATCCCATCGATTTCTCTTCAGGACATCTGTTACAGGAAGTGGAGCACTGTGTACCTGGAATTCTACGGGGCGAAGAAAGATGTCGCAAAAAGCAGAGAAGAATCACCTGAATCAAATCCTCGGTTCCCAACTCTGCACTATCCATGAGACCCTTCAGGTGCTACGAGTTCTAGTTATTCTATTCAATCCAACGCTATCTATTTGTGCTTGTCTCTGAACTACCATTAAGTATCTTAAGAATTGAGCTTTGCGTGCTCATGTAGGTTTTGGATCAAGCTGCTCCTTCTTCCTTAGACAAAGTGAGCTGGGACGAAATAATAAAGATGGGCGACCAGGTCTCAAAACAGGCTACCATAGGTTATAAAATCTCTTCTTTTTTGTTGCTTGACGAATCTTTTGCTCTTTCATGTCTTGGGAATTTTAATTTTTCTGTAATTTTAGATTAGGCACTATACAAGTTTCTTTCTTTGTCACTCTGCGCATAGTCGGTAGTGTTTTTTCCCCCTTCTTTCATCCTGCATTCATTTTAGTGTATCATTGGATTGACCAATACGACTTTCAATAAAAAGTGTCTCTTATTTCAGTTCTAAAAAGATGACTATGCATATAATCTCATGATGCTGTTATATTGCTTTGGCGGCCTGATTTCTTTCTTCATGTAAGTTTGATTATATGGTTTTTTCTTCTACTTTGAAGCACTGAGTTGGCATTAAATTAGAGAGCTTGTTGGCGTATAAATTAAAAATGCTGATGAGTTACATGAATATGATAGCGTAGGTTATTGCTTTACTGAGCTTTGCAGGCTAGGAAGGAGAAGAAAGGGCAAGTAATATACAAACATTTTTATCAACATGTGGGCTCTCAATTGATATGCATAGAATATAAGTTGGAAGGTTAAAATGGAGAACTGCTTTGGGGGGTTATTCGTGATCGGAAAAATGCTGAATAAGCTGATAGGAAAGTTTTGTCAAACTGCTACAAGACCAGCATTGCTATATAATAAAATTTGTTATAGTGTCACATAGTTAAACTGAATCGTTGAAATCGGTTAGGCTAGTAATAGGCTGTAGCTTCAAGCTTTTTATGTATGATGTTACAAACACTTAGATGTTGGACTGCATTGAAGATGTATGCACAAAATAATAAAATTTGTGGAAAATTCCGATTCTATCTAGTTGTTAGGGATGTTGACCATTAATGGGGAATATCTAAATTCATCTAACAGTTGATGATAGTGCCATCCAGGTAGGATGGCAATACCTTTGGGTATTAAAGTGTTGCTGTGTTTTTGTCTCAGAACAATGTCTATCACAAGGACAATTTTGCAAATCAAATCCATGCCAATAAGGTACAATTACAATACTCCCAATTATATGCAAAAGGGGAGCAAGGGGTTCCTAGTTTCAGGACTTTTATTTTTCAACGAACTTTTAAAAAAAAAAAAAAATTTGGCCAACTGAAGCACTTCTTTTAATAACTAGGATGATCATGCAAATAAAATCTCTTTTAATAATGCATAAAGATAATTCTCCAATTTCAATGTATTTGCAAGAAGAGGAAAATAGGGACATAGTTTCAGGATTTATTGCATCTTGCATTAACAAGTGTGCTGTCTGGTGGTAATTCTCCTAACCCAGAAATTCTATTTGCCCTGTAGTTTATAGATATGGGCAGGCTTGAGTTTATGTAGTTAAATGTCTTCTATCTGCTTTGTAGCTGGAATGCTTTGGACTGGACAAAAACCAGAGGTAAAAGCAATGGAGGAAACTATGACATCATACTTCAACACGTTACAAGGTTTCCTATTGCTTTCCCATGGAAGTACAGTAGGTGCGGGGCCAACACTGTCTTCCTGTATTCATGCTTCTGTGAAGCAAGTTGTTGATTCCAGTTTTAGGCTGATGAAGGAATTTGTGTCTTTATACGGTAATCCCTTCCCCTCCTCTCTCTCTCTCTCATTTCTTAAGAATATACTGGTCGATAGATAATTTATTCAACCTTAGCACTAATCTATCCCAAGTTCTCAACCTTGAACTTTAAACTCTGTGGTCCTGAGTAGTGTTCCTTTTGCCTGGTTACTTATTACTAATTAATGACCTGTTAACCAGTAACTTCAGCATTGCTACTGTAGCTTATGACAGATATTCAATATCACAAGCATGCTGTGTACTAGTAATACTCTAACCTAGGAGTCTGGCCCAAAAAAAAAACAGGAGGGCAGGGTATGGTGAGTTCGGGCGGACATGCGTATTCAAATGTGTGTTCATACTCAAATCTTATTATTATTATTATTATTATTATTATTATAATATTTAATTCCTTTTTTATTGAGCTCCTTCCAGTGAGAAAAAAATGTAACAACAATCATCCAAAATATCAAGTACCTTGAACTAATAATCTTGTATGGGTGTGAGTCTTGTAATATCAGAACTATGACATAATTGTGGTTGATAACTCCTTTAAGAGGAAAACCTGGTCATAGTTTTTGTGTGTTTGCTAAAAAATTGTCCAATAAAAACTCAAGTGGTTTGTTTTGCAGCTGATTCACATTATTGGGTTTTTTGAAAAATTTTGCCGGCAAGAACGAGTTTTGTTAAATGACTTTAGAAACATGCCTTCTTTTTGTCGGGCAATCTAATTGTCAGTGACTCAGTGGAATACTTTGGCAAACAATTGTCTAAACAGATCTGTTGAAAGCGTATGGTCTAAGGATTTGTAGATCCCCTTGGGGTTGGAGTATTTGTGAACTGATCTTTAACCAGGCAAGGAGACAATTATTGGGGGAGTATAAATGCTTTGCTGCTTCAAAGCTGTTTAGATTTTGGAGTTATAGCTTCAGATCTCTCTTATTCTTGTCACGGGTCAACATAAGCAGCTAGTTACCACGACTGCCTAGTTGCAGCCCCTGCACGTTTGCTGTGTGTTTCATGCAAAGCCACATTCCATTGGCCTAGTTTCCATCCATCATTGGACGTCTACTCTCTCTTCACTACAAATAGGTCGTATCATTCTCTAATGGATCAACAATCTAGTGCTACTAGATATTTTATCTTGCAACATTATTGGATCTTGACTGTTTCAAATACTTTTTCCATGGAGACGTTAAATTACATTGGGCAAACTTAGGCTGCTGTTGGAATGAGAAGCCATATTATCCTGAAGACAGGATATATCACATGTCTGGGTGTCTTCCCATAACTCAATGTTCAGCCATTTTTCCCCTGCTCTGTTTGTGTCTGTGCCTGGCTCCATACGCTTTACTATTCATCATTTTGAATACATTGTGTCATATCTACACGCATTTACTGTTGGATTACCATAAACCCCCTCCCCCCCTTTTTCCCTTCCTCTTGCCTTTCTCTAGGTTGTTTTGACCGGCATATCGTGCAGCTTCTTTCTGATCAATAGCAACCTTATCTCTATAATTGAACACTGACAGGATCTCAAGGGAAGGATCAGCAACTATCAATCTCTCAATTAGCTGGTGTAGTATGGGAAGCATGTGCTGCTCTTAAAAAGACTCCATCAACAAATATTACAGCAATTGGGCGAGGAATGACGCAGGTTGCTGTTTCAATGAAGGATGTTCTTCGCGAGCTGAAAGAATTGAGGCCTGATGCATCTGATGAAGTTTCCGACAGTGATGGTGAACTGGGGAATGACCTTTCACCTGAAGAAATGAAAATTGCCCAAGCAGCAATTGTAGTTGTATCAGATACACTTTCAGTCGTAAAGGAGCTCATCCGCTGCATCTCAGGCCTGCTTAAGCTGGAAAAGCCGGGTGACAATGGTGATTTTGTAGATTCACTGGAGAAACTGTTGAAGCTGTGTCAGGATCTTGGTTTACAGATTGATGAAATTGGAGCTTGCCTCTATCCCCCACAAGAGGTCCCCGCCATAGAAGCAGCTATAATGAAAATCCAGAGTGTTATTGATGATATGCAAAGTGTATTAGGAGGACTCGGAGGAGCATCAGACACATTCCTTGAGGCATGTAATGTTCTAAGGAGTTCACTGAGACAGCTTGCATCTGAATTAAGTAGTTCTGCTACTGCTGATATAGAAGCCAAAGTGGAAAACATTTCGTTAAGCAATTAAGAAGCCCTGGCGGAATGTTTGGTAGTACCGTGTCGATATTATGCATTCGATTTTGATTTCGCATAATTAGAAATGTTTTTTTTTTTTTCCTTCCACAAGATACTTCTGGTTTTGACTTGTTATGTAAAGGCGAAAATTTGGGATCCACAGTTCACCATGTGAGTTCTACATATACAGGATGAATACATGCCATTTAGTCCAAGAATTTCTTTGGGAACTGAATTGAGATGTGTTTGGAAGGAAACCAAACCATAGCTTTAAAAATAATTTTAGGGCACACAAAATAAATATATGAGAAAATTTATCTTGATCTGCCAAAGAAAAAAAAAAGTTTTTAAAAAGTACTTTTGATAATATCCAAACACCTTTGGATATTGATTTGAAAATGGGATGTAGTTACCAAGTCAATTGTTTGACAATTTACTATTAATAATTGATTAAATTGTATTTTGTTTAATGATATTCTAATCTATTGAGTTTTTGGAGTCTTGAAACATGTCAATGATTTTGTAACTTGGTGACGTCCCCAGTTCTTGTTTGTATCAGATCATGGGTTTAATGCTGCATGCTGCCTCCTATAATTGGGGGAAAAACAAAAAAGCAAAGCTGGTCCATAATTAGTTTAAAAAAATTACTTTTATACAAGTTGAAATAAAATTTTTCTTACATACTTATCTTATCTACTATAAAATCATTTTTTTAAGTAATTTTAAAGGTTGCCAAGCACCTACATAGTCTCAAAGATTACTTAAATCCTGGAATGAAATAAAATAGTTTTTTGATTTTATGTAAGATTTTAATAGAGCCGGGAATCAGGACCGGCCCTTCAGGGCTGGCGGGCTTAAAAAGGCCGGCCCTCCATGGCTGAAATTTTAAAAATACCCCAATTTGCTAAGCCCGGCCCTTAAACTACAGGGCCAGGGCCGGCCCGTGGGCTTTTGGCCCGTTTAAGAAAAAATACTATTTTTTTATTTATCATATTTTTTTATAAAATATAAAAATAAACCAATGAAATTATTAATAAAAGACATAAATATGAATAAAATTAAGTCATAAATATAAAATATTATCATATATAAATATTCATCAACATCTAAGAACATCTAAAACATTAATTAACAAGATAACATCTAAAAGTTTTATCTATAATGTAATTGTACAATAAATAAACACTATCATTAATCTTTTGAAACTTCATCATCACTATAATTAATTTTTTCTTCATAAGTATGCTTTTCTTTCGTAACAAAAATATCAAGTTTTTTCTTCTTTATAAGAATTTTATTTTTAAATTTTGCAATCTAACTATTATTTTACTTTAATGTGAGAAACATTGTTGTTGAAACTCATGAATTTCTAATTCAAATTATAGAATCACAAGTTATATAAGTATAAAAATATTCTATTATCAAATATATATATAGTTTAAAAATATCAACGCATATAATATAAATCAAATCATTATTAAAGTCCAAACTAACCCATTTTTTAAAAATTTAATTGGATAAATTATTGTCTAAAACTAAATTTAATTTTAAAATGATAATAATAACTAAATATTTGAAATATTATTAACAATGTAAAAAATTAATAACATTAATATTATATAAAAAAATTTAAAAAATAAAAAAATTATAAAATGGCTTAAAAGGGCCGGCCCGCAGCCCTCCAGGGCCGGTCCTTTTAAGCCCTCGGCCCTCCAGGGCCAGCCCTCCAGAGCTTATTTCTTATTTTAAGAGAAAAATATCAAGCCCGGCCCTCATAATTTCAGGGCCTAAAAGGGCCGGCCCGACAGGCTCGGCCCGTTTTCCCGGCTCTAGATTTTAATATGATCCCTTAATTTTATACATTACTTTTTTGGATTTTTTAATCCTGACACAGTTAATTTCATTAATAGAAAATGATAACATCGCAATTTTAAATGCTAATAAAGAATTTTCAAATGATTACCTTTTTAATCCAGGCATTTTAATTTTTTAAATGAAACTTAAAATGTCCATCATTTAAAATTGTAATGTCGACATTTTTTTTTGTTAATAAAAAAAATGGTGCTAAGAAACTAAACTAAAATGTACACTGTTGCCAGTAAAATAAGAATTTCTGAGATGAAAATATTGCGCTCTTGAATAAATAAATTAAAAATTAACTATACCAAAAATAATTACTTATCTCTTTTTTTTTTTAAATGAAAAAGCTCATTTCCTAAGTTAAAATCGTCCCGATTAACAGTTAGTCCCGTCCGACCAACTGTTCACACGCATCCTCTTAGAAATTGAGATGCCATTATCTGTTAGATATTTCCCCTGGGGGAAGCTTTTGACGGAACTTCGAGAAAACGAGGTATAAAATTATATTTCAAAATCTAGTATACAGGCATAGGTATTGTTTCCCTACATCTCTGGCACTAATCAACAAGTAGATTACATTGTGAAGACTATACATTCAAGTCTCAAAGAATTAGAGCTCGTATTAAGATGTGGGGCTAGAGTCACCTTCCAATGAGCTTGACCATCCATGCCCCGCCAATGTAGAGACCTAACAATGGAGCGGCTAGAAGAACTTGAGTGAGGGGATCAGTGGAAGGAGTAAGAACGGCAGCTGCCACTACTGCACCAACCACAACATACCTCCAAATTGAGAGCATCTGATCTCCAGTCACAAGCCCAACTTGTCCCAATAGCAATTGTATAACGGGTACCTGCAATATTGCTTGCATATTAGAAATTATAGTTTAAAACATTTATTAATAGAAATGTAAGCATTTTGATAGTGGATTGTACCAAAAGAAACTACAGTTAGATTTGGCAGATCAAAGATGGATAAGCCAAACCAGTCATTTAAAAACTTGTTTACATAGATCGGATATAAACAAGAACCTGTACTAAATACTAATAACTGAAGGTATAAGGAGGGATGCTTATGAAGAACCCCTTCCGTACTAAATTGAAAATTAGTCCCGTAAACTTGGACACTGGGGCATGGGAAACCAACGTCTGTTTACTGCTATGGTGATGCCGTTTTACACATCTTCCCTTGTTAAATGCCATGCCCCCATTGTGGCAAATAAGGGTCACACGGCATGAAATGCCCCAATATGGGCGTAACTACTGGTTGTCAAATTTGAGGAAAAATGTATACAAAAATACAAAATTACAAATGACCCGAGGCTGATAGGGTGAGTGCATCTCTCTGTGTCTTTTTTTTTGGATAAAATCTATGTTTCTACATTCGTTATACACAATTTTATCCTTCTGTCTTTGCGTTGATACTTGAGGGGGCCGGATCCCATAAGGTCATGGAGTCCTGGTATGCTGAGGTTCAGAGAAATGGTATAGTCCTATTATTACCAGTTTAGGAAGAATGAAGCCAGCCAAAAAATATATACATATATTTACCTGGAAAGACAAGCCGGTACTGAACATTAGCACTAGTACGAACTCAAAGTATTGATCAATGGACCACAATGATTCAACAGCCCCTTCAGCATAGTTAACAAAGAAATTTAATGCTGCAGGTGTCAGAACTAGGTAGGAGAAGATAATTCCGGCATAGAAAAGAACTGATGAGCCCAAAACAATTGGCCCCAGAAACCTTCTCTCAGCTCTTGTTAGGCCTGGAAGCACAAAGGCTATGATTTCGTAGAGAATGACAGGACTTCCCAAGAGAAGGCCACAGTAACCAGACACCTGCAGTACCCCCAAAAAATGATTCCACGGTATCACTATTTAATGGAGTCTGAGAATAAGCATGCAGGACACAGACACAAATGTAATCATAGCACTTCTGCATCTTTTTGTTTTGGTAACCAAACAACATTTTTAAATCCTCCAAGATAGGTCATAACAGACTTTTCATTTGTAATTCATCATGACAGAAATGACAGGGAGTTATCTTCAACATGCATAGAAGATCATTAACAGGTTGCATATAGACAAACGAAGGCAGTTAGAGCTATGTTTTTACCAATGAAAATTTTCTCCTGTTCTTGTCCCTTTTCTGCTTATTTGGCTATTGATTTTCTTTTACTTGTATTACAACTTAAATTATAGTGGCAAAACAGCTGGTTTAAAAAATGAGATATTAATTCTTGAGTCATAAATTTAACAACAGAATCAGACAAAAGGCACACGAAAGCACAAAACAGCTTCATAGAGTCCTGATAAAGCATGACACAGCAAATTGAACATTAAAAGACAGACAGATGTGTTATTAAACAATTATACCTTTAAAGTAGTGAAGAAAAACTCCCCAGGAGCTAGCTGAAGAAATCTCACACCCTGTGATTTTACAGGATCTTCAAGAACGATTATCAGTTCTTTTGAAAATGCAAAACATCCTAAAATGGCTGCCCCAACCGCTAGAACAGATACAAAGATTCTCTGTCGCAGCTCTTCAAGATGATCAAATATGCTCATTTCTTTATCATCAGGAAGTTGTTCTTTAGTAGGGTAAAGAAAATCATATAGAGCACTTCCATCACCATCTTGTCTAGAATTCTCCGGAGTTTCTTCTAGTGTATTATCCCCCAGTTCTGTGTTGTGTAAAAAAAATTGATGTCAGGAACCTAACTTTTTTCTTCCCCCATAGTCAATTCGGGGTCTTAACTTTATTTATTGCACTCGCAGCTCTGATCTGCACAATACTCAGATTGGACTTGAAATGAATTGCACCATAAGTTGGCATCATTAGAACAACACTTTAGTTTGCTTACACTTTCGTAAAAGAAGCAATCCAAGCTTACTTTAGATTAAATAATATCCACACAAAGGATATGCCACATAATATAGCTTAAACACCGTATACTTTCATATCTCATCACTCTTTTCTGAACATGGAGAATCATCAACAGACATGTAAAACATCAAACAAATATTTGGATGTTGGAAAATTGAAATTGGCCGGTAGAGAGAAAGCCCTTGATGAATATATGTTAAAATAAAATTCATACAAAGATAAGCCAAAACAACTCCATTTAAATCATCCAGTATGCACTTATTCGTGCTTCTACAATAAAAAGGTTATGAACAGTGTTTTTAGGTAACTTCAAAGCCTTTCATGTCATAAGTAATTGGTGTTTGAAAACCAGAAAGCTGGCATAAATTGCCAGAACCTTAAAATCCGCCCCTAAAAGAATATTACAGGACTAAAACTTGTGACAGGCCACTCAACCCACATTACAACTTCCCTCTCAGAGTGAGATTACTCACTAGCCTAGCTAATAAAAAAAAAAAAAACACTGTGTGTGCTTGTGTAGTCTTTCTGCCATGTCTTCGTTCATAGCATCCCAATTTCCCAGAGAAATCCAGAATAATCAGTTAAATTAACGTTAATAATGTAGAAAAAGAACATATAACAAGATTAATTAATATCGGCTTCTATTTTTAATTCGACTCAACTTGTTTCAAGTGATATACTGCCACAGCAAGTTGCCATTTGTTATTTACAGGAAAGAGAGGGAAAAAATGCAAAGCCTTCTCTCGAGAAACCTGACTAAATAATGATATACATGGCCAGCATGTTCAGCCACACTTCAGGACCCCCACAGTTTAAAAACACGCCGTATCATTTCATATGCAAATCCGAACTTAAATGCAACACAATATTTCTAATTATAGCAAGATCCTATAACTTATCATGTTGTAGTGTCTATAAGGTGCCTATTTCTATAGTTGTGTCAATGCTTCTCAGTTGGGAAAATAACAGACAACTGCCAAAGATAAGACCATACTTCAATCACATTCCCATGGGTTTTTCTGCATTTCGAAACGCCCCCAAACCAACCAAGCAGCTAATTCAGAAAAGTTCCCAATCTCTTTGAATCATTTGGCGAAAATTCTTAAATATTCCATAAAAAATGAAGAAAAATGAATTTCATAATTCAATTTGGCTCTTACCCGGCCTATCTTCAATGGCTGACCCAACCCCACTCCCACTCAACTCCTGCCGGTTCTCCCTCAACTCATCATCCACAGCAAAAGAGACAACTCTGCCAAACCTCTTACTCCTCTGCGAAACACCGAACCTCAAACTGGGACTCCCCGCGGAGTTGCAGAGACGCGGAGCAGACAAGCGGGTCCGGATCGGGCCAAGTGGCCTGAAACAACAACTGTGGAGCTCCAAATGAGGAATGATATTCGTAGCAAAGGTGGTGCAGCCCATGGTGCCGATGGCGAAGGCTATCGTCTTTGATCGTTGAAACGGTTGGCTGTAATTGGATACGATTTGCGTCTCCAGAGTCCAGCCGCCTCGTCCGGCTCATGCGGACAAAAGATTCTTTTTTAATTACGTCCATTCTTAAAAAAGCTTAATTTTAATGACAAAAATTACCGGGAAATGATTTATGATTTTATCACTTAAAAATATCTGAAATCTGTTTAGTGTTTAGTATGAATGAGAACGAAATGACCACAATACCCTTATACAGAAATTTTGTTAAAAAAAAAAGAAGAAAAAGAAAGAAAAGATTGAAGAAGAACTAGAACTAGAACTGGAACCAGAACGGAGGCGCCACGGCCAAGGGAGCTTGAAGGGAAGGTGCGGCAGTTCCGGCGAGAGTCAGTGGTTACGGCAATGGCATCACTCATCAGCATGCTACCCCAATCTTCCTCCCAGAATACATCAATATGAGGATTTATACGTTTTAAGTTTATTGAGTTAGTTATTAGTACGAGGTCTCCTAGTTCGTTCTTTTTTTGTCACTGTTTCTGGCTTTTTATTTTGGGTTCTTCGCCTTCTGTTTTGGGCTTTTTTATTTTCTTTTTTCTCCAATTTACGGGCTTCTTAATTGGGTCATAGGCTAAGCCCATTTTTAGAGTTTTTTTAGGGCTAATACCACCTTCTTGTTTTCAAGCCGGAAAGTTGATTTTATTTCGATTGACCAATAAATTGGATACCAGTTGTTTTCGTCCCTAATTTAATTTCATTTAGTTTTGCCTAAAGATTTTTAACTCCTAGAATAGTGTTTTTCTTGTTTCAAGAACCAAAATCAAAATAAAATTAGATTTCATAGATTAAAAATGGTATTAACCCCTTATTTGTGTATCATTTTATCTTTTTCGATAATATACTATGGCTTTACATAAAACAAAAGGAGTATGCAAGTGTTTTGCTTTTTTTTCATACGAATGATGACATCAACCCAAGCACATCAAATTCATTCTAACTCAAGTATGTACGGACTAACCATATCGGCCCAACAGGAATGATTTGGACATAAATTACCATGACAATGATTAAGGATGTCAAATACGTCAGATGGATGCGGCTGAGGCATCGTACAATATATCTTCTTTATCTGATAAGCTTCATCATTAACAACTATTTAATCATCATAATTATTACATCTGCATTTGATTGATTACTTCATGGCATGGGACTGCGTTGTAGATCAAATTAGGATATTAGGTGAAACTTTGTTGAAATTCAAAACTTCTAAAAATAGAAAATATATAATAAATAACATAACGACAGTACAAGACCATAGATTAACTAAATTAAATGCATGATCCAATACGTAAATAAAATGTTGCTTTTTTTCTTTCAGTGAAAAGCTAAACACATCTAGTATTTCAAAACCTTCTAACCCGAGAATAAGAAACATATTACACTTTTTGTACACTTCATCTCCATTTCAACCATTTGTTGAACTTCATGGCATGAACAAACTGAAGCTCTGTAATTTCAATAAAAACTAACAAAAATTACAAGTGAATGTTTCAAAATGATTCATTCTAAGGCATCCCAATTGAAAAGACCTGACCTTTCTTCCTCTACCAGCTGTAATAACTACTATTTTCCCTGGACTCGCAGATATCACTGCCAATATACTGAGATCCACTACCCTAGCTAGGAGAATGATGATCATTTACAATTATATGAAGCTGATAATATTTACAACATGCATGGATGCTATGCATGGACAATAATCACCATAAAAATAAGGGAAGGAATCAAAGAATCATATGCCGCCATAATCGTAAATTTATTGCCTCTTTTTTGGGCCGTGAGTTCGGTGCAAGTGCCACGACCATACAAGCAGGCATGATACAAGGACAACTCCAATAGATGACCAGAACATTACCAGCCATGAAGGCATTGGTTTAGGATACAAACCTGGGCAAAACACACAGGAACAAATTTTCTGTGAATGAATAACTGTGTGAATGAATAAATACACAAGTGAAAGATTTTACAGTTACACCTACCATGTCCAAACTTGATACAAATTAGTAGTTCAACAATGCAAATGGCAAGTGAAAGCCAACAAAAAGCTCCAACCTTTTTCACTGGCTTCCTGGAAAATTCACAATGAACACATATGGATGAAATATTAAAACCAAACAATGACACTATCATTTAGGAACAAGAAAGAGAGAGAGTGTCGTGTGTACCTGTCTTGAAGGTAGGAATTGTATTCGCGAATCGTTGGAATTGCGATTAACCACCACAAAATCAACCGATAAATGATGACAGGATTTCGAGGTGGGATCCAGAGACAAAACTTGAGAAAGAATGTGTTCAGCTCTACAGTCAAAAAGACAATACAAAGACTAATCACTTGAACAAAACGCCAAGGACCAAGCAATGGATGCCACTCATCTTTGTCCCAATGTGCCGGAGTAAATTGTCCTAATGTTCGTTTTACCTGATAAAATTGAAACAAATGGAGTATTAGGATCGAATTCAGTCTCTCTATCTATTAAAAAACATCATTAATACCTCAATGAGAAATGAAGCACTAGCTATTATGACATTTTTAAGTCCTTGAAATCAATAAATGTACAAGTTAATCTTTGAAACTAACAATGTCTTACAAATGAGTCCCTCTAGCATCCTTCAGTCACTTGACTAAAATACTTATTTTGCAATGAGTGAGTTATTATCAAAGGCTAGTTACTTTGCAACTTACTTTGCCCTCATTAACTTTTAAGACTAAAGTTAATTAGGACGTTAAATAGTTAATTTACTCAAATATATGTTTGTTGATTTGATTGAGCATAATGTCAAACGTACTTTTCCCATAATATTAGGTTGACGGCTCAGACCAACCCACTTGTACGTTTTCCCATCAAAATACCTAACAGTATGCATTCCTGCCCATATACCTGCATGATAAGCCAAGTAAATGAATATGTTACGATTAGGCTTAATTGAGGATTAAAAATGACCCTCATATCTCTACATTTTAAAGGTATTAAACGGGAATAGAAGCTATTAAGTAATGACTCCAACGGCCCGTTAGACATTACCAAAAAATATATATAATTAAATGAAACGACACAATTAGAGCCACAGTATTTTAAGGCTGACAAAAATGAGCTTACATACATTAAATCAATCGAACATGAAGAGATTATAAATTCATGTCCCCAAACCCAAAAATCAAAGGTACAATTATTATTATTATTATTATTGTCATTGTATCAGGACAATATATAAACAAGCGATCAAATAAATATAAAGATGTGTGTGACAGGGAAGTACTGCTATTATTTTCAAACCTTGAAAAGACAAAAACAGATGTAGAAAGAGGAACCGAAATCAAAGCTCAGTGTCATAGAAGGCACATGAAATTAGCGTGGAGTTCGACATCATACAAGATGCAAATACATCATAAACCATAGTTCTGAAAATTTAACTGCCTCAAAACTGTTTGGTAGACCCCTCCACAAACTCCAACAATAATTCTTTCCATAAAGGGCTAGTTCTCATTTTTATAATCATAAACTAAATTCAAAAAATATTAAGAAAATATCAATGACTTTGAATATGTAATCTTTGGTAGGGTAATACATGTTTTAGCGAGAAAAAGGTTCATGCTTAAATTTACTTTACATGGTATGTGCTACCTAACCAACAAACAGGAAAGGTTCAGAACTCTTACCAAACCAGTTGCAGATCAAAACGTCGAGAATAATACTGTCCCACCAGCATTCGTTGAAGTTTGGTAACATGTGGCGAAAAGTAAGCTGCTAAGGCAAACATAAAGTTCATAAGCAAACAATATTGTATAATTTAGAAAGTATCATGCTTTAACAATCCCAATCCAGCCCTTCCCCTCGCAAAAAAATGTATAGACTATGTGAGATCAATTAAGAAACCTCATGGTAAAATCAGATCAAGGGCTAACCTCCATCAATTCAAAGCCAATTGATAACACCCAAAGAAGAGGCTGGTTACGGATCAATATAGCCTTTCCCCACCAGCCAATTATATGAGCAAGAACAAATTCATCAAAAAGTGTATCCTAGAAAACAGAGAACAAATCAGGTGCATAAGGAACCCATATGAGATACGATCAAGCATAGAACAAGACAACACTAGCAGGTGACAATAAAAGTTTGTGAAAGAAGAAATCATACATAAAGATTCTTAAACCTGCTCGTAGGGTTTTCTGGCACATATATGCGACAATCAGCACCATAAGACCTTTCTGGAAGTTCTGCATAAAGTCAGGAAAAATAATTATGCATATTCTAACAATGATTCATTCCGATAAACAAATCTCTTAAAAGAAAATGAAACAAAATTTAAGAATCAACTAACTACTTCCTATCCAATTCAAAACTAAAAAGAAAAGAAGCAGATTCATTACCCACACCAAGATCAGGATGAAGAAATTTCATAAACTGTCGAGCATCATCACGTTTCTGTGGGAAAAAAAATAATCATTCTGTTACAGGTAAAAGAACGGAAAACAGATATTGTCCATAAATTGTGCAAGAGACAGACATAGACAGAGTGGGAAGGAGTCAACAGACATAAACATAAAAAAGTACACAAATCTAAAGTGCAAAGGTGTGCTGTGATGTAATCTACGTAAAAATTATCTAAGACGTATAAATGAATGCCCTTTAAACTCTACATGCATGTATCACACTTTTTACACACAACTTTAACAGAAAATAAGGATATATGATATATCTAGACACAACAATTGACCTGGAAAAGCAAAAATGTGAGGGCCACAAGGTAAACAACAGCCATGCCATGGACCAGTCGCCAAAGTGCAGGATGCGGTCTAATAAGAATCCTGAATGAAAACAGATAACAATGAATGTCACAGATAGTGGTCTCAGCAGATAAATCTACCACAAAACTTAAGCTGGTCCAAAAGAATCACTCAGTCCTACTACTGAAACATCATTCCTACTCCTAAAGACCCACTAGAAAATCCATACTCTTTTTTATCTAAGTTGCTTAAACTAACAGGATAACTTCGAATGGGATCATATTACAGATTTGAAGTTAGAA